GAGGTCAGGGCTTTGTGATGGCCACTCCAATACCTTGACTTTGTTGTCCATAAGCCATTTTGCCACAACTTTGGAAGTATGCTTGGGGTCATTGTCCATTTGGAAGACCCATTTGCGACCAAGCTTTAACGTCCTGACTGATGTCTTGAAATGTTGCTTCAATATATCCACATCATTTTCCTTCCTCATGATGCCATCTATTTTGTGAAGTGCACCAGTCCCTCCTGCAGCAAAGCACCCCCACAGCATGATGCTGCCACCCCCATGCTTCACGGTTGGGATGGTGTTCTTCGGCTTGCAACACCCCCTTTTTCCTCCAAACATAACGATGGTCATTATGGGCAAACAGTTCTATTTTTGTTTCATCAGACCAGAGGATATTTCTCCAAAAAGTAAGATCTTTGTCCCCATGCGCAGTTACAAACTATAGTCTGGCTTTTTTATGGCGGTTTTGGAGCAGTGGCTTCTTCCTTATTGAACGGCCTTTCAGGTTATGTCGATATAGGACTCGTTTTACTGTGGATATAGATACTTTTATACCTGTTTCCTCCAGCATTTTCACAAGGTCCTTTGCTGTTGTTCTGGGATTGATTTGCACTTTTCGCACCAAAGTACGTTCATCTCTAGGAGACAGAACACGTCTCCTTCCTGGGAGGTATGACGGCTGCGTGGTCCCATGGTGTTTATACTTGCGTACTATTGTTTGTACAGATGAACGTGGTACCTTTAGGCGTTTGGAAATTGCTCCCAAGGATGAACCAGACTTGTGGAGGTCTGAGGTCTTGGCTGATTTCGTTTGATTTTCCGATGATGTCAAGCAAAGAGGCACTGGGTTTGAAGGTAGGCCTTGAAATACATCCACAGGTCATTTTCTGGAGTATTCCAAGCTGTTTAAAGGCACAGTCAACTTAGTGTATGTAAACTTCTGACCCACTGGAAATGTGATACTGTGAATTATAAGTGAAATAATCTGTCTGTAAACAATTGTTGGAAAGATTACTTGTGTCATGCACATAGTAGATGTCTTAACCGACTTGCCAAAACTATAGTTTGTTAACAAGAAATTGTTGGTCCTCTGTAGCTCAGCTGGTAGAGCACGGCGCTTGTAACGCCAAGGTAGTGGGTTCGATCCCCGGGACCACCCATACACAAAAAAAATTTTATGCACGCATGACTGTAAGTCGCTTTGGATAAAAGCGTCTGCTAAATGGCATATTATTATTATTATAAATTTGTGGAGTGGTTGAAAAATGAGTTTTAATGACTTCAACTGTATATACATTTGCAAACATTTCTAAAAACATTTTTCTGCTTCGTCATTATGGGGTATTGTGTGTAAATTGATGAGGAGAAAAAAAAAAAACGATTTAATCCATTTTCGAATAAGGCTGTAATGTAATAAAATGTGGAAAAAGTCAAGGGGTCTGAATACTTTCCGAATGCGCTGTACATGAAATGTCAGGTGCTGTCTAAATGGTGTCTCAAAGCATGGTATTAAATTGCGTAAGTGTCTTGAGACATAGCATTGCATGTCTTCAAGACATGGCACAAAATGACATTAGGTGTCTTGAGACACGACTTGTCTCTCAAGACACCCAATGCCATTTTGTGCAATTTAATACCATGCTTTGAGACACTACAATCATTATTCAATAATATATGTACACTGAACAAAAATATAAATGCAACATGTAAAGTGTTGGTCCCATGTTTCTTGAGCTGAAATAAAAGATCCCAGAAATGTTCCATATGCACAAAAAGCTTATTTCTCTCAAATTTTGTGCACAACTTTGTTTACATACCTGTTAGTGAGTTTTTATTTATTTATTTATTTTATTTCACCTTTATTTAACCAGGTAAACCAGTTGAGAACAAGTTCTCATTTACAACTGTGACCTGGCCAAGATAAAGCAAAGCAGTGCGATAAAAACAACAACACAGAGTTACATATGGGGTAAACAAACAAAGTCAAAAATACAACAGAAATAAATATAAATACAGTGTGTGCAAATGTAGCAAGTTATGGAGGTAAGGCAATAAATAGGCTATAGTGCAAAATAATTACAATTAGTATTAACACTGGAATGATAGATGTGCAAGAGATGATGTGCAAATGGGGTACAAATGAGCAAAATAAATAACAAATAGGGATGAGGTAGTTGGGCGGGCTAATTTCAGATGGGCTGTGTACAGGTGCAGTGATCGGTAAGGTGCTCTGACAACTGATGCTTAAAGTCAGTGAGTATTTATAATTTGCCAAGATAAACCATCCACCTGACAGGTGTGGCATATCAAGAAGCTGATTAAACCGCCTGATCATTACTCAGGTGCACCTTGTGCTGGGGACAATAAAAGGCCACTCTAAAATGTGCAGTTTTGTCACACAACACAATGTCACAGATGTCTCAGGTTTTGAGGGAGCGTGTAATTGACATGCTGACCGCAGGAATGGCCACCAGAGCTGTTGCCAGAGAATTGAATGTTAATTTCGCTACCATAAGCCACCTCCAACGTCGTTTTAGAGAATTTGGCAATAGGTTTCAACCGGCCTCACAACTGCAGACCACGTGTATGGCGTCTTGTGGGCGAGCGGTTTGCTGATGTCAACGTTGTGAACAGAGTGCCCCATGGTGGCGGTGAGGTTATGGTATGAGCAGGCATAAGCTATTGACAATGAACACAATTTTATTTTATCGATAGCAATTTGAATGAACAGAGATACCGTGATACCACATCAAGTAACTAATGACAGCAGTAAAATTAGATTTAAAAAACAGATAAAAATACACCTTATGGAACAGCGGGGACTGTGAAGCAACACAAACATAGACACATGCATACAAACACCCAATAACATATGCACTATACACACATGTACACATGGATTTTGTGTTATAGATATGTGGTAGTAGAGTAGAGGCCTGAGGGCACACACTTAATATGTTGTGAAATCTGTTATGAATGTATTGTAATGTTTTTAAAATGTAAAACTGCCTCGGCAGCAGCTATTGGGGATCCATAATAAATAGAAATACAAATGTGTCGCGCTGCATGAGGCAAATGGTGGTCACACCAGATACTGACTGGGTTTTCTGATCCACTCCCTCCTTTTTTTTTTAAGGTATCTGTGACCAACAGATGCATATTTGTAATCCAAGTCATGTGAAATCCTTAGATTAGGGCCTAATGAATTTATTTCAATTGACTGTATTCCTTATATGAACTGTAACTCAGTAAAATCTTTGAAATTGTTGCATGTTACATTTACATTTTTGTTCAGTATACAGTACATGAAATGTTGTCAGGTGCTGTCTAAGTGGTGTCTCAAAGCAATGTATTAAATTACGATAGTGTCTTGAGACATAGCATTGCATGTCTTCAAGACATGGCACAAAATGGCATTGGGTGTTTTGAGATGTCTTGAGACACAAGTCGTGTTTTGAGACATCTTGAGACACAAGTTGCGTCTCAACAGACGTCTTAGAAATGTGTCTTAAGACATCCTAAGACACATCTTCAAAACAGCAATGTCTCAAGACATCTTGAGACACAGGTGATGGCTGGGTATGTACAGTGCCTTCAGAAAGTATCTACAGCTCTTGACTCTTTCCACATTTGGTTGTGTTGAAGCCTGAATTTAAAATGGATTAAATTTAGATTTTGTGTCCCTGATCTACACACAATTCCCCATAATGTCAATGTGGAATTATGTTTTTAGGAATGTTTATACATTAATTAAAAATGAAAAGCTGAGCTGTCTTGAGTCAATAAATATTCAACATTTTTTTTATGGCAAGCATAACCAGACAAAATGACCAAAAGTATGTGGACACCTGCTCGTCAAACATCTCATTCCAATATCATGGGCATTAATATGGAGTTGGTCCCCCCTTTGCTGCTATAACATTCTCCACTCTTCTGGGAAGGGTTTCCACTAGATGTTGGAACATTGCTGCTGGGACTTGCTTCCATTCAGGTAGGGCACTGATGTTGGGCGATTAGGCCTGGCTCGTAGTCGGCATTCCAATTTATCCCACATTTTTCGGTGGGGTTGAGGTCAGGGCTCTGTGCTGGCCAGTTAAGTTCTTCCACACCAATCTCGACAAAACATTTCTGTATGGACCTCGCTTTGTGCACAGGGGCATTGTCATGCTGAAACAGGTAAGGGCCTTCCCCAAACTGTTGCCACAAAGTTGGAAGCACAGAATCTCTAGAATGTCATTGTATGCTGTAGCGTTAATATTTCCCTTCACTGGAACTAAGGAGCCTAGCCCGAACCATGAAAAACAGCCTCCACCAAACTTTAGAGTTGGCACTATGCATTTGCGCAGGTAGTGTTGTCATGGCATTCGCCAAACCCAGATTAATCCATCGGACTGCCAGATGGTGAAGTGTTGTTCATCACTACAGAGAATGTGTTTCCACTGCTCCAGAGTCTAATGGCGGTGAGCTTTACACCACTCCAGCCGACGCTTGATCTTAGGCTTGTGTGCGGCTGCTCGGCCATGGAAACCCATTTCATGAAGCTCCCGACGAACAGTTGTTGTGCTGACATTGCTTCCAGAGGCAGTTTGGAACTCGGTAGTGAGTGTTGCAACTGAGGACAGACGATTTTTACACGCTTCAGCATTCGGCGGTCCCATTCTCTGAGCTTGTGCAGCCTACCACTTCACGGCTGAGCAAAGTGGAAAAAGTAAAGGGGTGTGAGTAATTTCTGAAGGTACTGTATGTCTGCAATCAATCCTGTTTAAAGGAACAGTTGGCCTAAGTCCAGTCTTAAGTAGCCACTAAAACAGTCAAACAAATATGGCTTTTCTGCAGCTGTTTCTCAGTTGCTATTCCATAGGCTTTGCAGATACAGTTCTCTCTACTTATGCATAACTGTAGCCTTCTGGTTGCAGAGCTAACATGAGATTGTTGTAATGGGTATTTTCTCACGCTGCCCAGTGAGGGTGGTGATCATTACCCTGGCTGGTGATGAATCGAGGAGCTGGGTTTTAATCCTGTAGATTGATGGTTCTGCTAGGTGTGTGACTGAGAGGGAGGTCTGGCTGTGTGGCTGGCTGGAGCACACTGTCGAGCTGGGAGAGAGAGCGGGGGCCCAAATATCACCCCCCTGGGTGGATCAACCGCAGGTCCCACATTGGGTCTCTCTCACTCTCTCTGTCTCTCACCATTGTCAGCACATATGCTCATTGTAGTGGTCCATCATTGAGTTTTGATTCAAAATGTGATGTTTTACTAGAATCAGTCTATTGGTGAACCTCCTGAAAAATGCATTGTAGAATAATAGTGAAGACATCAAAACTATGAAATAACACATATGTAATCATGTAGTAACCAAAAAAGTGTTAAACAAATCAAAATATATTTGAGATTTGAGATTCTTCAAAAAGCCACCCTTTGCCTTGATGACAGCTTTGCACACTCTTGGCATTCTCTCAACCAGATTCATGAGGTAGTCACCTGGAATGCATTTCAATTCACAGGTGTGCCTTCTTAAAAGTTAATTTGTGGAATTGATTTCCTTCTTAATGTGTTTGAGCCAATCAGTTGTGTTTTGACAAGGTGGGGGGGTGGAGGGGGTATACAGAAGATAGCCCTATTTGGTAAAAGATCAAGTCCATATTATGGCAAGAACAGCTCAAATAAGCAAAGAGAAATGACAGTCCATTACTTTAAGACATGAAGGTCAGTCAATACGGAACATTTCAAGAACTTTGAAAGTTTCTTCAAGCGCAGTCGCAAAAACCATCAAGCGCTATGATGAAACTGGCTCTCATGAGGACCGCCACAGGAATGGAAGACCCAGAGTTACCTCTGCTGCAGAGGATAAGCTCATTAGAGTTACCAGCCTCAGAAATGGCAGCCCAAATAAATGCTTCACAGAGTTCAAGTAACAGACACATCTCAACATCAACTGTTCAGAGGGGACTGTGTGAATCAGGCCTTCATGGTCAAATTGCTGCAAAGAAACCACTACTAAAGGACACCAATAATAAGAAGAGACCTGCTTGGGCCAAGAAACATGAGCAATGAACATTAGACCGGTGGAAATGTGTCCTTTGGTCTGGAGTCCAAATTGGAGATTTTTGTTTCAAACCTCTCTCACTAACTGATTGTACATACTGTATGATTTCAGTTTGTGAGTGTATGATAGTGGTTGGAAACATGTTTATTTCAACATCATTTATAAACAAAAGCATCTCAAGGTCCTGGAGTGGCCTAGCCAGTCTCCAGACCTGAACCCAATAGAAAATATTTGGAGGGAGCTGAAAGTCCGTATTGCCCAGCGACAGCCCCGAAACCTGAAGGATCTGGAGAAGATCTGTATGGAGGAGTGGGCCAAAATCCCTGCTGCAGTGTGTACAAACCTGGTCAAGACCTACAGGAAACGTATGATCTCTGTAATTGCAAACAAAGGTTTCTATACCAAATATTAAGTTCTGCTTTTCTGATGTATCAAATACTTATGTCATGCAATAAAATGCAAATTAATTACTTAAAAATCATACAATGTGATTTTCTGGATTTTTGTTTTAGATTCCGTCTCTCACAGTTGAAGTGTACCTATGATCAAAATTACAGACCTCTACATGCTTTGTAAGTAGGAAAACCTGCAAAATCGGCAGTGCATCAAATACTTGTTCTCCCCACTGTATATATACTGAGATCATGTGACAGATCATGTGACACTTAAATAAAGTCCACCTCACTGCAATCTAACTAATTATGTGACTTCTGAAGGTAATTGGTTGCACCAGATCTTATTTAGGGGTTTCATAGCAAAGGGTGGTGAATAGATATGCTCGCACCACATTTCCGTTATTTATTTTGTATAATTTTTTGAAACAAGTTTCTTTTCTTCATTTCACTTCACCAATTTGGACTATTTTGTGTATGTCCATTACATGAAATCCAAATAAAAATCCATTTAAATTACAGGTTGTAATGCAACAAAATAGGAAAAACGCCAAGGGGGATGAATACTTTTGCAAGGCACTGTATGCCGGAGTCTAAATGTAGCAGAGGTTATTTGGAATTCCCACTAGTTTCCCAAGGTCAGTAGGACAAACGTCAAATAATGCAGTGAGTTTGTGAGTTCAAGTAGCATCTACAGAGGACTGCAGTCAAATGTCCTGTGTGTCAAACTAATGAGCAGGGACTCGTTGCTCAGAAATCCACAGATGTCTCTGTTAGACAACTTTTTGTTCATCATGCAACATTCTCAAGAGTTTAATTATTTATTAATTCAGACACCCCAAGAACTGTCTCCACTTGTGGAAGTTGAAACATCTACCTCTCAATCTTCTGTCTGATGCCCACACAGGGTACGGTCATGTTTTGTGCATTCTCTACATGTGTCCTCTCAGGGTTTCATTTATTTTCAAGCATTAATCACAATCACTGCACTTACATATTTTCTCCTCAGTGTGTATTCTCTGATGACTATTTAATGGATTTGCATCACTAAGCATTTTCTATGCACAGGACAAATATACCCTTAGTGAGTTGGAAACCAGTGGTGAAAGATTTGCCACTATTTTAACAGTAATATAGTTTCTTCCCCTCTGTGACTCCCCATATGCCGTCTCCTTATATGCTTATTCAGATTGGATTTGTTAGTGAAACATTTGTCACAATCCTGGCAGTGAAACGGTTTATCACCCGTGTGAATCCTCATATGCACTCTCAGATTACTGCTACTGATGAAACATTTGCTACAAAGATGACAATGATGTGGTTTGTTTCCTGTGTGGATCTTCATATGAGATTGCAGAGAACCGCTATAAAGGGAAACATTTGCCACACTCATGGCAAAAATAGAGTTTCTCCCCTGTGTGAACCCTCCTATGCACAGTCAGATTTTCACTCAGAACAAATGCTTTGCCACAATCCTGCCAGCTATATGGTTTATCCCTTGTGTCACTGTGAACCTTCATATGCCTTTGCAGATAACCTCTCACGCTGAAAGATTTGTTACACAGACTACACTGATGTGGTTTTTCACCTGCATGAATCTTCATATGCAATTGCAGTTGATTGTTTCGAGTAAAACGTTTGTCACATTCAGGACAGCAATATGATTTCTCCCCTGTGTGAATCGTCATATGTTTATTTAGATTTCCTCTTTGAGCAAAATATTTTCCACAATCACGACAGCAATACGACTTCTCGCCTGTGTTAATAATCCTATGCGTCATATCTTTAGATCTGGATCTGACAGGTGATTTCAGATGGGACACCACGGATTTCCTGCCCTTAGAGCTGATAAGGGAGCTTTGTCCTTTTTCTGTCTGCATCCTCTTTGATTTCCGGGTCTTCAAAGCTGACAGAGGTCCTTCACTCTCCTTCCAGTCCCTGCTCATGTTTTCACCCTGAGCTGCAGAACAGGCTGGATTTACTGCAGAGATGGGCTTATAGTCACTGGCTAGTTCTGATGAGTCCTCTTCCCCAGGTTCTGTTTTGATCTGTTCAGTGGAGGGGTCTCTGTCTTTGCATTCTTTACTTAGGGTTATGCTCAGATGTGAGGACTGAGTTGGGTACTCGTCAGACTCACTTTTCACACTGGAAGGAATGAATACAGAGTCTTTAGTATCATACTTCAGCTCTTGAAGTGGCTCTTTTCCCTGGCTGGTCTGGAGTTCCTCCTGTTCCTCTTTAATCTGTGTGGGCTTCGAGTCCTCCTGCCCCAGACTGAGGCTCCATGCCTGCTCACCATGCTGCTGCTCAGGGGGAACCTCCTCTTTAGAGAGTGTGGTTTTCTGGAGGTCTGAAGGGAATGAGAAAGAATGTATTAGAAGTCAAACACTGACATGAAATAAGGGTTTCTGTAAACCTGGCAATATTTCAGGTGCTGCGAACAACTAAGTTACCATTAGAACACACATGAAAAGCTTTGTATGCCTATTTGGACCATTCAATGTTAATTATTCTACCTTCATATGTATGTTACTCGTTTGCAACGCTCATGGAATTACTAATGTTATGGAATGATCCCAAGGTTTACGTACACATCCACCCTCTAAACCACCATAATCACAATGTTTTTTAACTGGTTGTTCAGAACAGCATTGTTTCCGTTTAATGAAGCGTTGCATGTTGTGTTTAACATTGTTTCCGTTTAATGAAGCGTTGCATGTTGTGCCATGAAGCCTATACTATGACGCCCCATGGGTCATATTCATTAGTGCACACCGCAATAAACAGTAGCAAAACATTTCGCAATGTTTACTCAATGTGGCCTTGGGTTCTCCAGAGCTCCACTAGCCATGTAAACTGGAACCTCAGCATCAGAGCTAAAGCTTGTGTCTGAGGTCGTGCATTGCGGTTTAGCCACAATTAGGATATTTTCGATTAACCTTAATTTAGCGACACTTTCTTCGTTCTCGATTTGGAAGTCACTGGTATTTTCTAAACTCCCATAGCTTATTGCAGGGGAAACATTGGAATATAGAAAATGATCTGTTATTAAATTAAATCAATTTGTAGCAAACATTTATTGTATTTAATAACAGAGCATTTTCAAGTCAAAACGTTCCACCTGCAACTAGCAATGGGAGTTTAGAAGACACCGGTGTCTTCCAAGACAAGAACGTAGAAAGTTTTGCCATGTAAACGTTAGTTGAAAAATAGCTGACAGTGCTTTTCATTACCTAAGCCAGGGGTACTCAACTGCTATTTGAGAAGGTCCGGTCACACAAATTTCCTAGATGGCAAAGTTCCAGATGGATATTGTAAATTATCGGCGTAGTAACAAACCCCCACCTCGTGACCCATGTGACGCCAAACTGTTCACACCCCTCGTTGGTGGAGAGAACATTTAGCCATTTTAAAGCTAATTCCCTGCTATTCTACACACTTTGCCTATGTATTATGTGTGTTCATACTGTACGATACCTGAGTGACTCAACAAAATCAAATGGGGGCCACCTGGGGGTCGAGGCCCCTGGACACAAAGGGTGCGTTCGTCTGCCCAGGAGTTGCTGACGAATGCCAGATCTTACAATGCCAGGATAGGTATTTTACATATCAGCTACCACATCATAGTTATAGCAATCTGGTGCCCGACAACACAGTCAATGACGTGGCACGCAACCATTGGTTGATGCATTCAACATCTGAGCAGGGGAATGCGACTGTAATCTGGCAATGATAACTACAAGATTTAGATAGTTGGTTAGCCCAGTGTTTCCCAAACTCAATTCTCTGGCAACAGCTCTGGTGGATATTCCTGCTGTCAGCATGCCAATTGCACGCTCCCTCAAAACTTGAGACATCTGTGGCATTGTGTTGTGTGACAAAACTGTACATTTTAGAGTGACCTTTTATTGTCCCCAGTACAAGGTGCACCTGTGTAATGATCATGCTGTTTAATCAGCTTCTTGATATGCCACACCTGTCAGGCGGATGGATTATCTTGGCAAGGGAGAAATGCTCACTAACAGCGATGTAAACAAATGTATGCACAAAATCTGAGAGAAATAAGCTTTTTGTGCGTATGGAACATTTCTGGTTTCTTTTATTTCAACTCATGAAACATGGGACCAACACTTTACATGTTGCGTTTATATTTTTGCTCAGTGTATATTTCAAAAATTGGGACCCGCAAATGTTTAAAGTAGGGACCAGTTCTGTGTCCGGATCCCTGGCCCGGCTCCCGAGGCTGCAAAAGAGGGCTTAGCCCCCTCAGTAGAAACTTGTGCCCACTCAGTTTTTATGTCCCTATAAAAAAAATTGCAAAAAAGCTCAAATATTTGAGTGACAGGCTGGTGTGAAATCTGTATCTCCGCTGCACTGTATCAGCACCATGGACAGAGCGCGCCGCGGAGTGTGTTTAGGGGGGCTATGGAAAGCCACTGGATGGTTAGGTATGACTCCTTTGGAATTTCATAAAAAGCGGGAAAAACGCTGCTCATCTGTGCTAGGCTAAGTGAATAACGTGATACTCCTCCCCCTGTAATATTAGAGTGTTAGTGTTATTAGCCTATTTAGCTTTGTATTTGTATTTATTATGGATCCCCATTAGCTGCTTTCTGGGGTCCAGAAAAATTAAGGCAGTTATTAAAAACATTACAATACATTCACAACAGATTTCACAACATATTAAGTGTGTGCCCTCAGGCCACTACTCTACTACCACATATCTACAACACAACATCCATGTGTACATGTGTGTATGTTATCGTGTGTGTGTATGCATGTGTCTGTGCCTGTGTTTGTGTCTCTTCACTGTCCCCGCTGTTCCATAAGGTGTATTTTTATCTTATTTTTTTTTTGTATCTAATTTTACTGCTGGCATGAGTTACTTGATGTGGAATAGAGTTCCATGTAGTCATGGCTCTATATAGTACTGTGCGCCTCCCATAGTCTGTTTTGGACTTGGGAACTGTGAATAGACCTCTGGTGGCATGTCTTGTGGGGTATGCATGGGTGCCCAAGCTGTGTGCCAGTAGTTCAAACAGACAGCTCGGTGCATTCAACATGTCAATACCTCTCACAAAAAGAAGTAGTGATGAAGTCAATCGCTCCTCCAATTTGAGCCAGGAGAGATTGACATATTATTAATGTTAGCTCTCTGTGTACATCCAAGGGCCAGCCGTGCTGCCCTGTTCTGAGCCAATTGCAATTTTCCTAAGTCCCTCCTTGTGGCACCTGACCACACGACTGAACATTTACATTTACGTCAGTAGTGAGTGCATACATTTTCATACTTTTTTCATACTAGTCCCCCATGGGAATCAAACCCACAACCCTGGTGTTGCAAGCGCCATGCTCTACCAACTGAGCTATACGGGACCTATAGTCCAGGTGCGACAAAACTAGGGCCTGTAGGACCTGCCTTGTTGATAGTGCTGTTAAGAAGGCTTTATTATGGACAGACTTCTCCCCATCTTACCTACTGTTGTATAAATATGTTTTGACCATGACAGTTTACAATCCAAGGTTACTCCAAGCAGTTTAGTCACCTCAACTTGTTCAATTCCACATTATTAATTACAATATTTAGTGAATGATTTGTCCTAAATACAATGCTTTTAGTTTTTGAAATATTTAGGACTAATGTATTATTTGCCACCCATTCTGAAACTAACTGCAGCTCTTTGTTAAGTGTTGCAGTCATTTCATTCGCTGTAGTAGCTGGCGTGTATAGTGTTGAGTCATCCGCATTTATACACACAATGGGTTTACTAAAAGCCAGTGGCATGTCGTTAGTAAAGATTGAAAAAAAGTAAGGGGCCTAGACAGCTACCCTGGGGAATTATTGATTCTACCTGGATAATGTTGGAGAGGCTTCCATTAAAGAACTCCCTCTGTGTTCTGTTAGACAGCTAACTCTTTATCCACAATATAGCAGGGGGTGTAAAGCCATAACACATACGTTTTTCCAGCAGCAGACTATGATCGATAATGTCAAAAGCCACACTGAAGTCTAACAAAACACACCCCCCCCAATCTTTTTATAATCAATTTCTCTCAGCCAATCATCAGTCATTTGTGTAAGTGCTGTGCTTGTTGAATGTCCTTCCCTATAAGCGTGCTGAAAGTCTGTTGTCAATTTGTTTACTGTAAAATAGCATTGTATCTGGTCAAACACAATTATTTCCAAAAGTTTACTAAGGGTTGGCAACATTTGAGCCAGTAAAGGGGGCTTTACTATTCTTACGTAGTGGAATGACTTTTGCTTCCCTCCAGGCCTGAGGGCACACACTTTCTAGTAGGCTTAAATTGAAGATATGGCAAATAGGAGTGGCAATATCGTCCGCTATTATCCTAAATTTTCCTTCCAAGTTGTCAGACCCCGGTGGCTTGTCATTGTTGATAGACAATTTTTTCACCTCTTCCACACTCGGAATTCAAAATTACAATGCTTGTCTTTCATAATTTGGTCAGATATACTTGGATGTGTAGTGTCAGCGTTTGTTGCTGGCATGTCATGCCTAAGTTTGCTAATCTTGCCAAAAAATAATTAAAGTAGTTGGTAATATCAGTGGGTTTTGTGATGAATCTGATTCAATGAATGATGGAGCTGGGTTTGCCTTTTTGCCCAAAATTTAATTTAGGGTGCTCCAAAGATTTTTTACTATCATTCTTTATATAATTTATCTTTGTTTCATAGTATAGTTTATTCTTATTCAATTTAGTCACAATTTGTCAATTTGCAGTACGTTTGCCAATCGGTTGTGCTGCCAGACTTATTTGCCTCATCCCTCTCAACCATACAATTGTTCAATTCCTCATCAATCCATGCGGATTTAACCGTTTTTACAGTCATTTTCTTAATGGGTGCATGCTTATTAGTAACTGGGATAAGCAATTTCATAAATGTGTCAAGTGCAGCGTCTGGTTGCTCCTCATTACACACCAGCAAATATTCTTTACATCATCAACATAAGAATCACTACAAAACGTATTGTATGACCTATTATACACTATATTAGGCCCAGCCTTTGGAACTTTGGTTTTCCTAGATATGGCTACTATATTGTGATCACTACATACGATGATATTTGGATACTGCTTTAAAGCAAATTTCTGCAGCATTAGTAAAGATGTGATCAATACATTGAATGATAACCTGAACCAGGTTGCAGGCACTGGTTACAGTTTGAAGCTTTTTCTTGAGTGGGCAGCTTGATGAAAGCCAGTCAATATTGAAATCACCCAGAAAACATACCTCTCTGTTGATATCACACATATTATCCAGATACTGACTGTTAGCACTTGGTGGTCTATAGCAGCTTCCCACAAGAATTGGCTTTAGGTGAGGCAGATGAACCTGTAGCCATATTACTTCAACAGTATTTAACATGAGATCTTCTCTAAGCTTTACAGGAATGTGGTTCTCAATATAGACCGCAACACCGCCCCCATTGGGATTTCTGTCTTTTCTGTAGATGTTATAACCATGTATGGCTACCACTATAACATCAAAGGTATTATCGAAGTGTGTTTCAGAGATAGTCAGAACATGAATGTAATCTGTTACTAGCAAGTTATTGACTTCATAAACCTTGTTTCTTAGCCTACATACAGTGAGGGAAAAAAGTATTTGATCCCCTGCTGATTTTGTACGTTTGCCCACTGACAAAGACATGATCAGTCTATATTTTTAATGGTAGGTTTATTTGAACAGTGAGAGACAGAATAACAACAAAAAAATCCAGAAAAACGCATGTCAAAAATTGATTTGCATTTTAATGAGGGAAATATGTATTTGACCCCTCTGCAAAACATGACTTAGTACTTGGTGGCAAAACCCTTGTTGGCAATCACAGAGGTCAGACGTTTCTTGTAGTTGGCCACCAGGTTTGCACACATCTCAGGAGGGATTTTGTCCCACTCCTCTTTGCAGATCTTCTCCAAGTCATTAAGGTTTCGAGCCTGACGTTTGGCAACTCGAACCTTCAGCTCCCTCCACAGATTTTCTATGGGATTAAGGTCTGGAGACTGGCTAGGCCACTCCAGGACCTTAATGTGCTTCTTTTTGAGCCACTCCTTTGTTGCCTTGGCCGTGTGTTTTGGGTCATTGTCATGCTGGAATACCCATCCACGACCCATTTTCAATGCCCTGGCTGAGGGAAGGAGGTTCTCACCCAAGATTTGATGGTACATGGCCCCGTCCATCGTCCCTTTGATGCGGTGAAGTTCTCCTGTCCCCTTAACAGAAAAACACCCCCAAAGCATAATGTTTCCACCTCCATGTTTGATGGTGGGGATGGTGTTCTTGGGGTCATAGGCAGCATTCCTCCTCCTCCAAACACGGCGAGTTGAGTTGATGCCAAAGAGCTCCATTTTGGTCTCATCTGACCACAACACTTTCACCCAGTTCTCCTCTGAATCATTCAGATGTTCATTGGCAAACTTCAGACGGGCCTGTATATGTGCTTTCTTGAGCAGGGGGGACCTTGCGGGCGCTGCAGGATTTCAGTTCTTCACGGCGTAGTGTGTTACCAATTGTTTTCTTGGTGACTATGGTCCCAGCTGCCTTGAGATCATTGACAAGATCCTCCCATGTAGTTCTGGGCTGATTCCTCACCGTTCTCATGATCATTGTAACTCCATGAGGTGAGATCTTGCATGGAGCCCCAGGCCGAGGGAGATTGACAGTTATTTTGTGTTTCTTCCATTTGCGAATAATCGCACCAACTGTTGTCACCTTCTCACCAAGCTGCTTGGCGATGGTCTTGTAGCCCATTCCAGCCTTGTGTAGGTCTACAATCTTGTCCCTGACATCCTTGGAGAGCTCTTTGGTCTTGGCCATGGTGGAGAGTTTGGAATCTGATTGATTGATTGCTTCTGTGGACAGGTGTCTTTTATACAGGTAACAAACTGAGATTAGGAGCACTCCCTTTAAGAGTGTGCTCCTAATCTCAGCTCATTACCTGAATAAAAGACACATGGGAGCCAGAAATCTTTCTGATTGAGAGGGGGTCAAATACTTATTTCCCTCATTAAAATGCAAATCAATTTCTAACATTTTTTACATGCATTTTTCTGGATTTTTTTGTTGTTATTCTGTCTCTCACTGTTCAAATAAACATACCATTAAAATTATAGACTGATCATTTCTTTGTCAGTGGGCAAATGTACAAAATCAGCAGGGGATCAAATACTTTTTTCCCTCACTGTATGTTAACGTGGGATATTTTTAGTACTTTTCTGGGATGCTTGATTGTTTTCATTGCTTTACTGGGAAGCTTGAAATATGAATGCTTAGCAGAAGTAGACATGCTCATGCTATTTATGTTGGTGCAGGGTGAGCTGCACACAGTGGGCTTCCTACTAGGGCACACCGCCTCAGTGCTAACAGTATATCTCTGGTTCATAGGCACATGATTACTGCATACAATAGCTGTGGGATCAGCAGAGGCATTCAGGGCAGCTAGAGGGACATACAGTGCCTTCGGAAAGTATTCAGACCCCTTGACTTATCCCTAGCAAGCAAGGGATAAGAACGTTGCCAGCCAGTATGGCAATGGAACATTTAGAACGAACGGCTGGGTCGCGTCTATAGATACAGAACCAAAAGAACGACCGACTGGGTCGCTTCTCTAGCAACCCTTGATTTGTGTCGACCATATCTTGTGGAAGAATGAAATAATACGAATAAATTAATACAAATGAAAATATGTCAATAATTATTTGAATATGTTGGTAACCCGTTGTATAAAAGTGATAATGCCCTCGAAGCCGGCGTTTGTTGGATATATTGTCACGGTTTGACGGCCCTCGACGAATATATCCAACTAACACCTGCTTCTCGTGCATTATCACTTAAAGAACCGTACCACAATTTAAAATTGATTAATGGTTAGATGGAGGGTTTGGCTGTTTTGGCTTCCAGAGCCAATTCGCCTTTTAAAAATAATATGTAAGGTCCTTGAAGCTACTAAAGGAGTAGCCTAACGTTAGGCTCCTTTAGTCCATTTGGGCTAGGGCTCCCCCGGCCCGACGTTACTGATCAACAAGAAATGTCCCATGTTAATTAGCTAAATTAACGAATTGCCAATGTTGATGAAATTCATGTTTAATGGCGAGACGTAAAAAGTAACAAACCTGCTCTATGTAACTGTATCTCTGGTAGAAGGATGATATCAAGCAGCCTCTTTACACAGTCGTTCTCCTCTTTCGATGGGGAAACATTTTCCTGGTACTCTGTTATCGTATTTTCAACAGCTCTGAATAGCTCTGGACCCGCTCTAAATCGCTCGTTGAAAATCAATCTCAATAACTCTATATTAGACATTTTCACAGAATGGTTGGTAGCTAGCTCGTTTGTTGTTCTTTCTTCTTCTTTAAAGGTTTAATGGCAGACAACTAAAACCTATTGGTGTATTGCCGCCACCTACTGTGCGGGGTTACGGTGGCCACCGTACGGGGTAGTGAATGAGACAAAAAACATTGCGTGAAATGGGTATGTTGTTCTTTTCCATGCCGCAGAGAAAGGAGAAGGTGGGAATCCCTGTGGCCAATGACACCCGATCAACCTTTACACTCTGTCTTTGGTACTGCAATTTCAGCGCGCGGGTATATTCCAGTCTAGCCAATCACAGGAGTCCCTAAAGACACGCCAGTCCTGACCGGAAATTACTTTTTCGTAGCAGGATTGGATAATGAATGTGGCAGCAAAGACATTACAGTATAAAGATAAGCTAAAATTGCTTCTCCAACTGAAATCCCCAATCACACTTGTACGCGATGTCATGGCGAAGTTGGCTAGCTAAACTCATGCGTAGAAACACGTAATCGAGTCTAACGGTCGTCTCGCGCCGAACTGCGCATGTGCAGGCCTTCAACTCAAAGGCACTCCTTCGATATAAAGTTGTTTTTGATTAAAGTGAAAACGTGTCAGTTTGTCACTTTCACGAGGTTGAAATAATAACATTTTTCACTTCTCTCATTGACTTCTCAAACCCCGGCCCGGTCTGTTTTGCAAGCGTTCCCATAAGTCTCGCTATGTTGCGCCTCTGGGTTTAGAAACTCTTTGGTAGCAGTTTAGGAGAATTGGGTGAAGGTTAGGAAAATGCTGTTATAACCTGCTACTAAAAGTCATTTGACGTAGTAACTGTATCGAAGTTGCGTTTTTATAGAGTTCCCATCACAGGGTCATGTCTAGATGGGATATAGCTTTCGTCAAATTGATGTCCGTTTTTTCTTTTGCATTTTAACTAACTCTAACCCGAACCCTTTTCATAACCTTAACCTACTCCTCTTAACCTGCTACGTTAATTCTCCTAACCTGCTACGAAAAGTCCATTTTTGACTAAAGCTGTGTCTTTCTAGACAAAACCCAATCACAGCGCGTCTCTACTGCAACAGACCCTCAAGTCCACCAATCATGCCTCACTACCACATCGAAGAGAACAACGTGATGGACTAGCGACTTAGCTTGTTGACCAACTAGCATTTTGTGAAAATGATCTAATATAGAGTTGTTGAGTGATTTTCAATGATAGATTTAGAGCGGTTCCTGAGCTATTCAGAGCCTTTGAAAAGATGATAAGAGTACCAGGAAAATGTTTCCCCACCGAAAGAGAACGACCGTGTAAAGAGGCTGGGGGACAATAAAAGGTCACTCTAAAATGTGCAGTTTTGTCACACAACATAATGCCACAGATGTCTCAAATTTTGAGGGAGCATGCAATTGGTATGCTGACTGCAGGAATGTCAACCAGAGCTGTTGCCAGATAATGTAATATTAATTTCTCTACCAACGTCGTTTTAGAGAATTTGGCTGTACGTCCAACTGGCCTCACAACCACAGACCACGTGTATGGCGTCATGTGGGCGAGCGGTTTGCTGATGTCAACGTTGTGAACAGAGTGCCCCATGGTGGCAATGGGATTATGGTATGGGCAGGCATAGGCTACGGACAACGAACACAATTGCATTTTATCAATGGCAATTTGAATGCACAGAGATACCGTGACGAGATCATGAGGCCCAATTGTTGCGTTTTTATATTTTAGTTCAGTATATAATAACCTTGGGCCAAAGTTTACCAATGATGTTGTAAAACGATTTACGTCAATAGATCTGCATTTTTGTCAAAGTAAGATATATTGAAATCCTAAATGGGACATTCATGGAAATCCATATCAATGCCGTGTCTTTTCCTATGAGATGACGTGCAAATTCTTTTCAGCCTACGTTTCGTGTCAGGGCTGGGTTTTATTTGAACGCTACCACCCACCAGCATGGCATTGTTTATTAATCAGAAACAGCTGCAAAGTTCTTCCTCTTTGCAGCTGAGCTAAAAGCCTTCCCTCCATTTGGCCGCCTGAGCCATGGAGCAAATTAAAATAGGGAGTGCAAACTATGGGTGGTGGGCCGTAGCAAGCTATCTGCTTTCGTTTTTAGAGATGATCGATCTATGTCGAAGGAGGAGCTGGTTTTTACATATTGTGTGTATTTATTTATTCTGAACACATTTCCGTTTGTTGCCAACGTTAATTCTTGCACATTTTTTCAGAATACTTTTATGTTCGCTAGCTCTGCACACCTGGATTGTATAATATTTTCACATTCTTTTAAAAATTCTTTAAGCTCTGTCAAGTTGGTTGTTGATCATTGCTAGACAGCCATTTTCAAGTCTGGCCATAGATTTTCAAGCCTATTTAAGTCAAAACACTAACTAGGCCACTCATGGACATTCAATGTTGTCTTGGTAAGCAACTCCAGTGTATATTTGGCCTTGTATTTTAGGTTATTGTCCTGCTGAAAGGTTATTTTGTCTCCCAGTGTCTGTTGGAAAGCAGACTGAACCAGATTTTCCTCTAGAATTTTGCCTGTGCTTAGCTCAAAAGGACTCCCTAGTCCTTGCCGATGACAAGCATACCCATAACATGATGCAGCCACCACTATGCTTGAAAATATGAAGAGTGGTACTCAGTGATGTGTTGTGTTGGATTGGCCACAAACATGACATAACGCTTTGTATTCAGGACATACAATTAATTTCTTTGCCACATTTTTTGCAGTTTTACTTTAGTGCCTTATTGCAAACGGGATGCATGTTTTGGAATATTTTTTATTTTGTACAGGCTTCCTAATTTTCCCTCTGTCATTTAGGTTAGTATTGTGAAGTAACTACAATATTGTTGATCCATCCTCAGTTTTCTCCTATCACAGCCATTAAACTCTATTTTAAAGTCACCATTGGCCACATGGTGAAATCTCTGAGCGTTTTCATTTACATTACATTACATTTACGTCATTTAGCAGACACTCTTATCCAGAGCGACTTACAGGAGCAATTAGGGTTAAGTGCACATCGACAGATTTTTTTTTCACCTAGTCGGCTCAGGGATTAGAACCAGCGACCTTTCGGTTACTGGCACAACGCTCTTACCCACTAAGCTACCTGCCGCCCTGTTTTCCTTCCTCTCCGGCAACTGAGTTAGGAAGGATGCCTGTATCTTTGTAGTGACTGGGTGTATTGATACACCATCCAAAGTGTAATTAACTTTACCATGTTCAAAGGGATATTCAATGTATGCTTTTCTTTTTTTACCCATCTACCAATAGGTGCCCTTCTTTGCGAGGCATTGGAAAACCTCCCTGGTCTTTGTGGTTGAATCTGTGTTTGAAATTCACTGCTCGACTGAGGGACCTTACAGATAATTGTGTGTGGGGTACAGAGATTAAGTAGTCATTCAAAAATCATGTTAAACACCATTATTGCACACGGAGTGAGTCCATGCACCTTCTTTGCCCGCTTTGAGGATAACACAGTGCCACCGACGAGGCCCACTACCAAGGACTGTGGCCTCTCCTTCTCCGTGGCCGACATCATCCCTAGCCAGACGGCATCCCTAGCCGCGTCCTCAGAGCATGCGCAGACCAGCTGGCTGGTGTGTTTACAGACATTTTCAATCTCTCCCTTTCCCAGTCTGCTGTTCCCACATGCTTCAAGATGGCCACCATTGTTCCTGTACCCAAGAAAGCAAAAGTAACTGAACTAAATGACTCGCCCCGTAGCACTCACCTCTGTCATCATGAAGTGCTTTGAGAGACTAGTCAAGGATCATATCACCTCTACCTTACCTGTCACCCTAGACCCACTTCAATTTGCTTACCGCCCCAATAGATCCACAGACGATGCAATCGCCATCACACTGCACACTGCCCTATCCCATCTGGACAAGAGGAATACCTACAGTTGAAGTCGGAAGTTTACATACACTTAGGTTGGAGTCATTAAAACTCGTTTTTCAACCACTCCACAAATTTCTTGTTAACAAACTATAGTTTTGGCAACTTGGTTAGGACATCTACTTTGTGCATGACACAAATAATTTTTCCAACAATTGTTTATAGACAGATTATTTCACTTATAATTCACTGTATCACAATTCCAGTGGGTCAGAAGTTTACATACACTAAGTTGACTGTGCCTTTAAACAGCTTGGGAAATTCCAGAAAATGATGTCATGGCTTTAGAAGCTTCTGATAGGCTAATTGACATCATTTGAGTCAATTGGAGGTGTACCTGTGGATGTATTTCAAGGCCTTCCTTCAAACTCAGTGCCTCTTTGCTTAACATCATGGGAAAATCAAAAGAAATCAGCCAAGACCTCAGAAAAAGAATTGTAGACCTCCACAAGTCTGGTTCATCCTTGGGAGCAATTTCCAAACGCCTGAAGGTACCACGTTAATCTGTACAAACAACAGTACGCAAGTATAAACACCATGGGACCACGCAGCCGTCAGACGCGTTCTGTCTCCTAGAGATGAACGTACTTTGGTGCGAAAAGTGCAAATCAATCCCAGAACAACAGCAAAGGACCTTGTGAAGATGCTGGAGGAAACAGGTACAAAAGTATCTATGTCCACAGTGAAACAAGTCCTATATCGACATAACCTGAAAGGCCGCTCAGCAAGGAAGAAGCCACTGCTCCAAAACCGCCATAAAAAAGACAGACTACGGTTTGCAACTGCACATGGGGACAAAGATCGTACTTTTTGGAGAAATATCCTCTGGTCTGATGAAACAAAAATAGAACTGTTTGCCCATAATGACCATTGTTATGTTTGGAGGAAAAAGGGGGTTGCTTGCAAGCCGAAGAACACCATCCCAACTGTGAAGCACGGGGTGGCAGTATCATGCTGTGGGGGTGCTTTGCTGCAGGATGGACTGGTGCACTTCACAAAATAGATTGTATCATGAGGAAGGAAAATTATGTGGATATATTGAAGCAACATCTCAAGACATCAGTCAGGAAGTTAAAGCTTGGTCGCAAATGGGTCTTCCAAATGGACAATGACCCCAAGCATACTTCCAAAGTTGTGGCAAAATGGCTTAAGGACAACAAAGTCAAGGTATTGGAGTGGCCATCACAAAGCCCTGACCTCAATCCTATAGAACATTTGTGGGCAGAACTGAAAAAGCGTGTGCAAGCAAGGAGGCCTACAAAACTGACTCAGTTACACCAGCTCTGTCAGGAGGAATGGGCCAAAATTCACCCAACTTATTGTGGGAAGCTTGTGGAAGGCTACCTGAAATGTTTGACCCAAGTTAAACAATTTAAAGGCAATGCTACCAAATACTAATTGAGTGTATGTAAACTTATGACCCACTGGGAATGTGATGAAAGAAATAAAAGCTTAAATAAATAATTCTCTCTACTATTATTCTGACATTTCACATTCTTAAAATAAAGTGGAGATCCTAACTGACCTAAGACAGGGACTTTTTACTAGGATTAAATGTCAGGAATTGTGAAAAACTGAGTTTAAATGTATTTGGCTAAGGTGTATGTAAACTTCCGACTTCAACTGTATTTATGTGTCAAGGGAGCTGTACATAGCAGTGAACATTGCAGCAACATTACAGCAATCAGAAGTGGACCTTAGGCAGGCATATCCATATCAAGTATCTACCTGGGAGGCAGGTGCCCCCATCCCCACCCCACTGGTCCTGTCCTGTTTAATCTGGATGGCGTTTGGCTCAGATACCCAAAGACTGAGGGTCCCATCAAGGCCAAATTAAGGCCTTTCTAGAGCAAATACAAGATGGCACATTGTCCCTTGACATAATCAATCCTACCAGACCACAGATCCATGTGCAAATACATCAAACCTGCAGTATTTCTGCATGTTGTGTGTGCATTATGTTTTGCTCTCTGCCATAGTCATACCGTGCAGTGTGCAATTGCATGTCATCAAGTAAGCGTAGAATAAATGGAGGGTCAATGGAGGTTTTCCTGATGAATAAAACATATTTCTAATGGCAATCAGGCCTTAAATACGACAGTCAGAAGCTCAGTTAGAACATGGGGGAAATAATCAGTTCTGACACATTAGACCATTTTCTCCTCATTTTATTGAAGAAGTGAGCCTTTTGAGTATCTTGCATGGATTGCGCCCTTTACTCTCAGTCTATGGTACTGCAAAATCGACGCTCATGTATTCCAGTCTAGTCAATCACAGGGCGTCTCCAATGCAACAGACCCTCAAGTCGGAGTCGATTGATCGATCTCGGCCGCATGGAAAATAACAACGTGATGGACTATCTAGCTAACTTGGTAACCAACTACCATTCGGTGAAAAATGTCGAATATAGCGTTGTTGAAAGGGATTTTCAACGAGGGATTTAGAGCGGCTCCTTGAAAATACGATTACAGAGTACCAGGACATTTTTACTCCATCTAAAGAGAACGACCGTTTAAAGAGGATGCTTGAATTCATCCTTCAACCTGAGATAAAGTTACATAGAGCAGGTGTGTTACTGTTCACCTCGCTCCATTCAACATTCATTTTATAAATATTGGCAATGTATTTTTGATAAGCAGCGTTGGCTAGAACGTTTTTCCTGTAGGCTTGCTCGGGCCGTTAAGCAGGTTGTATCCTTAGTGTGCACACACACACACACACTGTCGCAAAACGTTTCGTTAATGAAATCAGTTTACGTCACTGAGTTTAAAAAAAAAATTCGACACTGTAATGCCGCGTTCACGTGCTATTCGGAACTAGGACATTTCCGAATTGCTAACTGGTTGTAGTTATACACATGCTGCTTTCACGAACTTTCGGAGTTTCCTAGGTCCGACTAGCGTGTTAACGCAGCATGAATTGTATTGAAGGTGCAACATGCAAAAATCGCTCCGCCATTTCCTGCTTGTTAAAATTCTAATAGTTCGCCTAATTTCAGTTTGTGACAAAACAAGCAGTCATTGTGTAGAGAATCCTTGTACAGTCTAAATATATTTTCCATGACCAAAAATATTGTATTTTTAGCTGTTTGAAGCTGGTGTACAAAACTGAAAGTAAAATAAGCAAAAACGAAATGTAAGAATGCGAACCATAGAAATAGCATACATAGAATAGATATGGATTCTTAGACTTGCTTTCAATGAGTGACCGATCTATAACTGACATTTGATGTACATTTGGTCAGGTTGCCCAAACAGTTACATAGTTCAGCTTTAATTGCAGTGTGCACTAATGAATATGACCCAGAGGGGGTATACTAAAGATGCCTTCAAAGTCGCCTTGAAGTACAACAACCAACTTTTTCCTAATTTGTGTTGCTCGTACTGCTTACTACGTAAGCTGAGATTCAATTGGCACATGATCATTCGCGCTGAGTTGAGCAACATAAATGAGTAAAAAGTCAGTGATTGTATTCGATAAAAGGTTTTATGAATTTCACCACCCCGCGGATGGACCGCAGTTGTACAGGGAAAACATAGGTACAGGTAAGCGTTTTCAGAGTTGACATTTTCACAAAAATCGACTGATTGTGACCCAGTGTTGTTGCTAGGAAATCCTGCGACCAGTTATCAAAACTCAACTCTGACTCGATATAAGAGAACGTAGTTGAGCGTTTCTCAGCTAGGTTTCCCTTTTGCCTGTGGGTATACTACGAATCTAGCGATCTACTCAGGCCTTTCTGAAATTAGCTAGCTTCACATTCCAGCTCAGGCTTCATCCATGTTTGGTCACCACCTTTCAAAGTTTGTTGCATTATGGAGATAAAAATTGTCCGACTTGGGACTACATGTCGACTTCATGAATTTGACAAAAATCATGTGATCAAAGGTCATGCAGTTTTTGATAAAGTCACCTTCAAGTTGCTGCAGTTGCTTCTCACCAACTGCACCATGCAGCCATCACCTGCATTGTGGGAGGCACTATTTGTCAACCAATTATTAGTGTTTTTGTTTGACCAATGCGAACGTGGCAAAAGACTTGACTGAAATAGGAATCAACTTTGCAGCGATTCTAAAGTTACAGGGGATACAAATGAAAGTGATACTTTGGAAACCTCTCTCTAAGCAATTCATTGTACACACGTTATATTTTCAGTTTGTGAGTGTGATATGGGGGTATGGGCTGGCCCAGACCAAAAAAATCTTGGTGAATGACGTGTAGTTTTCCATATAGATTTTAGTGTTTTTAAAAAATAAGATCAACTATATGTACTGAGCTTGTCTGATTTAAGTACACTTTATGATTACATAATTAAGACACACAAATGACTTGAGGGAGCCAGAGATCAAGGTAGCCTAACCAGATTTTTTTTAAAAACTGTTCTCGACCCTCCTCTCACTGCTGCTGACCTTCACAGATTCTGCCGTTACGCTCATGAAGTTGTCAGTAATGGGCTACATAAAGTATTCAGACCCCTTGACTTTTTCCACATTTTGTTAGGTTACGGCCTTATTCTAAAATTCATTAAATTGTTTTTTTCCCCTCATCAATCTACACACAATACCCCATAATGACAAAGCAAAAACTGGTTTGTAGAAAGCTTGGCACAGCTGTATTTGGGGAGATTCTCCAATTATTTTCTGCAGATCCTCTCAAGCTCTGTCAGGTTGGATGGGGAGCATTGCTGCACAGCTATTTTCAGAGATGTTCGATCAGGCTCTAGCTGGGCCACTCAAGGACTTTCAGAGACTTGTCCCGAAGCCACTCCTGAATTGTCTTGGCTGTGTGCTTAGGGTCGTTGTCCTGTTGGAAGGTGAATCTTCGCCCCAGTCTGATGTACTGAGCGCTCTGGAGCAGGTTTTCATCAAGGATCTCTCTGTACTTTGGTCCGTTCATCTTTCCCTCGATCCTGACTAGTCTTCCCTGCCGCTGAAAAACATCCCCACATCATGATGCTGCCACCACCATGCTTCACCGTAGGAATGGTGCCAGGTTTCCTCCAGACATGACGCTTGGCATTCAGGCCAAAGAGTTCAATCTTGGTTCCATCAGACCAGAGAATCTTGTTTCTCATGGTCTGAGAGTATTTAGGTGCCTTTTGGCAAACTCCAAGCGGGCTGTCATGTGCCTTTTACTGAGGAGTGTCTTCCGTCTAGCCACTCTACCATAAAGGCCTGATTGGTGGAGTGCTGCAGAGATGGTTGTCCTTCTGGAAGGTTCTCCCATCTCCACAGAGGAACTCTGGAGCTCTGTCAGAGTGACCATTGGGTTCTTGGTCACCTCCCTAACCAAGGCCCTTCTCCCACGATTGCTCAGTTTGGACGGGCGGCCAGCTCTAGGAAGAGTCCTTGTGGTTCCAAACTTCTTACTTTTAGGAATGATGGAAGCCACTGTGTTCATGGGGACCTTCAATGCTGCAGAAACCTTTTGGTACCCTTCCCCAGAACTGTGCCTCGACACAATCCTGTCTCGGAGCTCTACTGACAATTCCTTCTACCTCATGGCTTGGTTTTTGCTCTGACATACACTGTCAACTGTGTGACCTTATATAGACAGGTGTGTGCCTTTCCAAATCATGTCCAATCAATTGAATTTACCACAGGTGGGCTCCAATCAAGTTCTAGAAACATCTCAAGGATGATCAATGGAAACAGGATGCACCTGAGCTCAATTTCGAGTATCATAGCAAAGGGTCTGAATACTTATGTAAATAAGGTATTTCAGTTTTTTATTTGTAATACATTTGCAAAAATTTCTAAAAAGCTGTTTTCGCTTTCTCATTATGGGTGTGTATATTGAGGATTTAAAAAAAATGTAATCCATTTTAGAATAAGGCTGTAACGTAACAAAATGTGGAAAAAGTCAAGGGGTCTGAATACTTTCCGAAGGCACTGTATGTCCCTCTAACTGCCCTGTATATGCACACTTTGGGAGAATGGTGGAGAATCGGGATGCAACTCACGCTGCAACATGACTTTTAGGTCAAACTCATTGAGACTGCCTATGAGGAGAATCAGTGCCAAGTAATGACTTGCAACCATAGAGTTAGATACTGTAGACATTATCTACCTCTATGCTTGCAACCTCCACCTCCTATCTATCCAAGTCATAGTAGGATGACCTAATATAGGATACCCATCAAGTCAAATTTTATTTGTCACATGCGGCGAATAGAACAGGTGTAGTAGACCTTACCGTGAAATGCTTACTAGCACTTAAGCAACAATTCAGAGTTTAAGAAGTAAGGCATATTTGCTAAATAAACTAAATGAAAAATAGTAACACAATAAAATAACAATAACAAGGCTATATACAAGGGGTACCGGTACCAAGTCAATGTTCAGGGGTACGGGTTAGTCGAGGTAATATGTAGGTAGGGGTAAAGTGGCTATGCATAGATAATAAACAGAGAGTAGCAGCAGCGTATGTGAAGAGTGTGAAGGAATGTGAATGTGTGTGTGTGTGGCGCTCCGATACCGCTTGCCGTGCGATAGCAGAGAGAACTGTCTATGACTTCAGTGTCTGGAGTCTTTGACCATTTTTAGGGCCTTCCTCTGACACCGCCTGGTATAGAGGTCCTGGATGGCAGGACTCTCGGCCTCAGTGATGTACTGGGCTGTACGCACTACCATCTGTATCGCCTTGTGGTCGGATGCCAAGCATTTGACATACCAAGTGGTGATGAAACCAGTCAGGATGCTCTCGATGGTGCAGCTGTAGAACTTTTTGAGGATCTGAGATCCCATGCAAAATATTTTCAGCCTCCTGAGGGGGACTAGGTGTTGTCGTGCCGTCTTCACGACTGTGTTGGTGTGTTTGGACCATGATAGGTCCTTAGTGATGTGGACACCAAGGAACTTGAAGCTCTCGACCCGCTCCACTACAGCCCAGTTGATGTGAATGGGGGTGTGCTCAGCCCTCCTTTTCCTGTAGTCCACGATCAGCTCCTTTGTCTTGCTCACATTGAGGGAGAGGTTATTGTCCTGGCACCACACTGCCAGGACTCTGACCTCCTCCCTATAGGGTGTCTCATCGTCGTCTGTGATCAGGCCTGCCGAATTATCCTACTTTCACTTCTTAGTCAATTTTGGCACTGGAATACATTTTTCAGACTTTTATCGATACCACATTTTCAACCAGAGAAGTCGTTTTTTAGGTTCAGTTCTCCTTTAAATACGCAACTCATTGCTTCAAACCACACCCCACCACACCCACCAAACAGTGCAAACATACTTCGGTATATATAGTGTATGTGGACACCCCTTAAAATTAGTGGATTTGGCTATTTCAGCCACACCCGTTGCTGACAGGTGTATAAAATTGAGCACACAGCCATGCAATCTCCATAGACAAACATTGGCAGTAGAATGGCGTTACTGAAGAGCTCAGTGACTTTCAACATGGCACTGACAGAGGATGCCACCTTTCCAACAAGTCAGTTTGTAAAATTTCTGCCCTGGTAGAGCTGCCCCGGTCAACTGTAAGTGCTGTTATTAAGAAGTGGAAACATCTAGGAGCAACAATGGCAAAGCCGCGAAGTGGTGGGCCACACAAGCTCACAGAACTGGAGTGCTGAATTCTGTCCTTGGTTACAACACTCACTACCGAGTTCCAAACTGCCTCTGGAAGCAACGTCAGCACAAGAACTGTTCGTCGGGAAGTGTTTGTAGGGAGCCAACTGTCGGCTGGAGTGGTGTAAAGCTCGCCGCCATTGGACTCTGGAGCAGTGGAAACGCGTTCTCTGGAGTGATGAATCACGCTTCACCATCTGGCAGACCGACAGACGAATCTGGGTTTGGCGGAAGCCAGGAGAACGCTACCTGCCCCAATGCATAGTGCACAATGTACAGTTTGGTGGAGGAGGAATAATGGTCTGGGGCTGTTTTCATGGTTCGGCTAGGCCCCATAGTTCCAGTGAAGGGAAATCTTAACGCTACAGCATACAATGACATTCTAGATGATTCTGTGCTTCCAAATTTGTGGCAACAGTTTGGGGAAGGCCCTTTCATGTTTCAGCATGACAATGCCCCTGTGCACAAAGCGAGGTCCATACAGAAAAGGTTTGTCAAGATCGGTGTGGAAGAACTTGACTGGCCTGCACAGAGCCCTGACCTCAACCCCATCGAACACCTTTGGGATGAATTGGAATGCCGACTGCGAGCCAGGCCTAATCGCCCAACATCAGTGCCCTACCTCACTAATGCTCTTGTGGCTGACTGGAAGCAAGTCCCCGCAGCGATATTCCAACATCTAGTAGAAAGCCTTCCTAGAAGAGTAGAGGCTGTTATAGCAGCAAAGGGTGGACCAAATCCATATGAATGCCCATGATATTGGAATGAGATGTTCAACAAGCAGGTGTCCACATACTTTTGGTCATGTACTGTACCTCAGTCTGTTCAAGAACGTTGAAAAAAACGTTTTGGGGAAAATGATTGTTCAGGACAAACCGTGAAGCAATGTAGTAAACGTTTAATCGAACTAAACGCACCCCAGGTTAGTTCTGAAGGATTCGTTGCTGTAAAAAGTACCAGGCCACTTTCGTGTCACTGGTTATCCCGAGTTCAACTCGCGTCATAGTATAGGCCTCATGGCACAACATGCAACTTTTAATTGAACGGAAACGATGCTGTTCTGAACAACCAGTTGAAGAACATTGTGATTTATTATGGTGGCTCAGAGGGAAACTGTGTACGTAAACCTTAGGATCATTCTGTTGCAAACATCAAAGTAACGTACATATGAAGTTAGGTATTGAAAAATTTACATTGAATGGTCCAAATAGGCATACAAAGCTTTTCATGTGCATTCTAACGGTAACTTAGTTGTTCGCAGCACTTATGGAACTGGAACTATTCCAAGGTTTACAGAGACTTATTTCATGTCAGTTTTTGACTTCAAATACATTCTTTCTCATTCCCTTCAGACCTCCAGAAAACCACACTCTCTAAAGTAGAGGTTCCCCCTGAGCAGCAGCATTGTGAACAAGAATGGAGCCTTAGTCTGGGGCAGGAGGACTCGAAGCCCACACAGATTAAAGAGGAACAGGAGGAACTCCAGACCAGCCAGGGAAAAGAGCCACTTCAAGAGCTGAAGTATGATACTAAAGACTCTGTATTCATTCCTTCCAGTGTGAAAAGTGAGTCTGACGAGTACCCAACTCAGTCCTCACATCTGAGCATAACCCTAAGTAAAGAATGCAAAGACAGAGACCCCTCCACTGAACAGATCAAAACAGAACCTGGGGAAGAGGACTCATCAGAACTAGCCAGTGACTATAAGCCCATCTCTGCAGTAAATCCAGCCTGTTCTGCAGCTCAGGGTGAAAACATGAGCAGGGACTGGAAGGAGAGTGAAGGACCTCTGTCAGCTTTGAAGACCCGGAAATCAAAGAGGATGCAGACAGAAAAAGGACAAAGCTCCCTTATCAGTTCTAAGGGCAGGAAATCCGTGGTGTCCCATCTGAAATCACCTATCAAATCCAAATCCAAACATATGACCCGTATGAGGAGCCACACAGAAGAGAAACCGCATCGCTGTCATGATTGTGGAAAATGTTTTGCTCGACGTGGAGTTCTGAAAAGGCATATGAGGATCCACACAGGGGAGAAACCATATCATTGTCATCATTGCAACCTACGTTTCACTAACATTGGAAATCTGAAATCTCATATGAGGAGCCACACAGGGGAGAAGCCATATTGCTGCCATGATTGTGGCAAAGCGTTCACTCGAAGTGATTGCATGACACGTCATATGAGGAGACACACAGGGGAGAAGCCATATTGCTGCCATGATTGTGGCAAAGCATTCACTAGGCGTACACACATGACACAGCATATGAGGAGCCACACAGGGGAGAAGCCATATTGCTGCCATGATTGTGGCAAAGCATTCACTAGGCGTACACACATGACACAGCATATGAGGAGCCACACAGGGGAGAAGCCATATTGCTGCCATGATTGTGGCAAAGCATTCACTAGGCGTACACACATGACACAGCATATGAGGAGCCACACAGGGGAGAAACCTCATTGCTGTCCTCATTGTGGGAAATGTTTTTCTCAAAAGGGAAATCTTAAATCTCATATGAAGAGCCACACGGGAGACAAACCATATCCTTGTCATCTTTGTAACAAACATTTTACCGAAATAAGTAATCTGAAAGTGCATATGAGGATTCATACTGGTGATAAACCGTTTCGCTGCCAGGATTGTGACAAATGTTTCACTCAGCAATCCAATCTGAATAAGCATATAATTAAATTGCATATGAGGAGTCACAGAGGGGGAGAAATGACATTACTGCCATAGTAGTGGCAAATCTTTCACCACTGGTTTCCAACTCTCTCAGGGTTTATGTGTCCTGTCTTTAGAAAATACTTAGTGATGCAAGTGCATTAAATAGTCAGAGAATACACACTGAGGAGAAAATATGTAAGTGCAGTGATTGGGATTGATGCTTCAAAACAAATAAAACCCTGAGAGGACACATAGAGAGAATACACAAAACATGACCGTACCCTGTGTGGGCATCAGACTGAAGATTGAGAGGTACATGTTTCAATTTTCTCAAGTGTAGACACGGTTCTTGGGTGGTTTGACTGAATTAATGATTTAGCTGAGAATGTTGCATGAAGCCTACATAGTTGTCTAACAGAGAGATATCTGGGGTCCCTGCTCATTAGTTTGACACACAGGACATTTGACTGCAGTCCTCTGTAGATGCTACTTGAACTCATCAACTCGCTGCATTATTTTACGTCTGTCCTACTGACCTTGGGAAACTGGTGGGAATTAAAAATCACCACCACTACATTCGGACGTTGGATTTTGACTCCAGCATACATTTTTTATATAAGATGTTAGCTTTGACTTGGATTCACTTGGCATGTCAAAATTATGACTCATAAAACGTGAAAAATTAAGGCATAACCTCAAAATGGTTAGAAGAGAGGTTAGAATTGGGAGATGAGAAATAAAGTTGAAACTTAAAAACCTGAGATTTATTTTCATTCTCTTATCTTCTACTGGAGGTATCTCATTTTGTATGTTATGTTAGCAGTATTCTTAGAAACATTTAAATGAACATAATTGATTTTGTTTGTTTATTTGACTGGGCATAAAAACTAAAATCCATATCTGTGCATGGATGGGGGATTTTTCTAAATAGCAATATGATCAGGGCACATCCCACCAAACGGGAGCAAAGATACTCAACATACCTCAGACTGTTGAAGAATGGTGCACAAGTAAAAAATACTTTGAAGTACTACAAAAGTAGTTTCTCAGGGTATCTGTACAGTACTTTACTTGAGTATTTATATTTTTGTCAACTTTTACTGCACTACATTCCTAAAGAAAATATGTACTTTTTACTCCCATTCATTTCCTCTGACACCCAAAAGTTACATTTAGAATGCTCAAGCAAGACAGCAAAATGGTGCAATTCATGGACATATCAAGAGAACACGCGGTCATCCCTACTGCCTCTGATCGGAATGGTGTACTAAATGGTGTCTCAGTGTTGGAGTATGCCCTTCGCTGTCCTTATATTTAAAAATAAATAAACAATTGTAGGATTTTTTATGAATTTATTTGCAAATTATGGTGGAAAATAAGTATTTGGTCACCTACAAACAAGCAAGATTTCTGGCTCTCACAGACCTGTAACTTCTTCTTTAAGAGGCTCCTCTGTCCTCCACTTGTTACCTGTATTAATGGCACCTGTTTGAACTTGTTATCAGTATAAAAGACACCTGTCCACAACCTCAAACAGTCACACTCCAAACTCCACTATGGCCAAGACCAAAGAGCTGTCAAAGGACACCAGAAACAAAATTGTAGACCTGCACCAGGCTGGGAAGACTGAATATGCAATAGGTAAGCAGCTTGGTTTGAAGAACTCAACTGTGGGAGCAATTATTAGGAAATGGAAGACATACAAGACCACTGATAATCTCCCTCGATCTGGGGCTCCACGCAAGATCTCACCCCGTGGGGTCAAAATGATCACAAGAACGGTGAGCAAAAATCCCAGAACCTCACGGGGGGACCTAGTGAATGACCTGCAGAGAGCTGGGACCAAAGTAACAAAGCCTACCATCAGTAACACACTACGTCGCCAGGGACTCAAATCCTGCAGTGCCAGACGTGTCCCCCTGCTTAAGCCAGTACATGTCCAGGCCCGTCTGAAGTTTGCTAGAGTGCATTTGGATGATCCAGAAGAGGATTGGGAGAATGTCATATGGTCAGATGAAACCAAAATATAACTTTTTGGTAAAAACTCAACTCGTCGTGTTTGGAGGACAAAGAATGCTGAGTTGCATCCAAAGAACACCATAACTACTGTGAAGCATGGGGGTGGAAACATCATGCTTTGGGGCAGTTTTTCTGCAAAGGGACCAGGACGACTGATCCGTGTAAAGGAAAGAATGAATGGGGCCATGTATCGTGAAATTTTGAGTGAAAACCTCCTTCCATCAGCAAGGGCATTGAAGATGAAACGTGGCTGGGTCTTTCAGCATGACAATGATCCCAAACACACCGCCCGGGCAACGAAGGAGTGGCTTCGTAAGAAGCATTTCAAGGTCCTGGAGTGGCCTAGCCAGTCTCCAGATCTCAACCCCATAGAAAATCTTTGGAGGGTGTTGAAAGTCCGTGTTGCCCAGCGACAGCCCCAAAACATCACTGCTCTAGAGGAGATCTGTATGGAGGAATGGGCCAAAATACCAGCAACAGTGTGTGAAAACCTTGTGAAGACTTACAGAAAACGTTTGACCTGTGTCATTGCCAACAAAGGGTATATAACAAAGTATTGAGAAACTTTTGTTATTGACCAAATACTTATTTTCCACCATAATTTGCAAATAAATTCATTAAAAATCCTACAATGCGATTTTCTGGATTTTCTTTTCTCATTTTGTCTGTCATAGTTGACGTGTACCTATGATGAAAATTACAGGCCTCTCTCATCTTTTTAAGTGGGAGAACTTGCACAATTGGTGGCTGACTAAATACTTTTTTCCCCCACTGTACCTCTTTTTTTTTTTGACCTGTTGCCAAGGAGTCCCTCGACATAAGACTGGAGGCCATTGTTGTTGTTGGTAAGATTAACATTGTTTATCAAATGTTTTTCTGTGTTGTCTTATGTGACCTCTGTTAGCAGATGATTGATAATGGTATGACTATGGCAGGGAGGAATAAATAATGCACACACAACATGTAGAAATACTGCAGGTTTTATTTATTTGCACAGGGATCTGTGGTCTGGTAGGGTTGATTCTGTCAAGGGATAATGTGCCGTCTTGTATTTGCGCTAGAAAGGCCTTCATTTGGCATTGAGGGGACCCTCAGTCTTTGGGAGAGACTTGTTATGGACATGCCTGCCTAAGGCCCACTTCTGATTGCTGCAATGTTCACTGCTATGTACAGCTCCCTTGACACAAATCACATCACTTTTCTGTTCATTAGATTTATAAGTGCACATATATGAACGTCATGTATCACTTCTCCCCATTTCTGAAGTATCCTTTTCACATCCTTTTAAAGAATGAAAGGAAAATGGCATTGCATCAGTCAGACAGCATCATACAACACTTCCTTGAACTACAAAATTAATTTTATGTGCATCTTTACCACCAGTAGTCTAGAAGCAGACCCGGGTGATTTGAGTGTCTTTGCCTCAAAGTTCTGCACCACCAATAGCGGTTCTCTGCCATGTCAGGCGTTACGGCATCACAGTTTGTGGCAAAAAAAAGGACTGGTGTCCTGTATAAAAAAAGTCTAAACTGAATGACATTGAGCTGTGTTTCCAATGGTATGATACGGTTTAAGTCAGGACAATGTCTCGGGTTGTGAGATCCTGAAATGCTTGGACCATACCCATAATATGGCATTGGGTGGATGAGGTTGGCGACACAAAGGTGAACATGTGGAATCTTTTTGCGAGCCTCCCAACTCTTTGTGCTCTGCACAGTGTCTCTCTCACTGGCTTTACTCACACACGGACTGAGACCTAGTGCAATCCCAAACAGAGAATCCCAAGTCGGAGAGGTCCTGTAAACAACTAACAAAAAAACTTCCCATTCTTTTAGCTGCCTTCATATATTGTAGTCTCTTGTAATTCCATGATGAGTTTGTAAAATGACCCAAGGTCCAATACAGTGGGACACGTTCCTATGTCTTCTCTTCGCGATCTGTTTTGCGCCGCGTAATGTTCCGAGGTTTGATCTTCAGAGACAGCTCCCACAGAGCCTCCTCTGCCAGGTGGTCGCTGAAGTCGTTGAAGAAGGAGACGATGTCGTCGTTGTGTTTCAGATCATAATGCCTGGGAGAGAGCGAGAGGGAAAACACCATCTAAACATTGCAAAGGTGGTAAAAGAAAATATCCTCAAATTCCAACGAATTAACAAATTGTTACGTTTTCAAAGAAAAGTGCGTTGAACATAAATCTGTATGAGAGCGACAGCCAGATTGGCCACTGTATACATACACTTGCTGGAAGCGCCTCATGCTGTCCAGGATGTTGAACTGCTGCCAGCGCTTGGAGAAGTTGACCTTCCCGTTGATGAGGTCAGGGTTGCCCAGATGGACAAAGGTCAAGTCCTGGAGGATAAGACCCCTGTGTGTCGTGTGAGGAAAAGAAACAAGAAACAGTCAGTACGATAAAGACGATATGCACAGTAAGCAATACAAATGGTAGATGTGCAAATACATTTGTGTCACTTGTGACAGCAAAGTGCATACACTTCGTAACCTAGCAGTTTGACTTACAGATATGGTATACATGGGGACTCCACATCTGACAGTGCCGCTCGGTAAGCCCGGAACGAGGAGGAACTGTCTATTAACGTGCAGTATTCCTCTAGGCCCTGTAAACAGAACAGTGACAGTCGTCCATGTTAACATCAAACACAACACCAACATGTGTAGAGAGAGTTCATATTAGAGTTACCTTACAGTAACTGCTTTGAAGATATATATACAGTGAGGGAAAAAAGTATTTGATCCCCTGCTGATTTTGTACGTTTGCCCACTGACAAAGACATGATCAGTCTATAATTTTAATGGTAGGTTTATTTGAACAGTGAGAGACAGAATAACAAACAAAAAATTACTGAAAAATGCATGTCAAAAACGTTATAAATTGATTTGCATTTTAAATGAGGGAAATAAGTATTTGACCCCTCTGCAAAACATGACTTAATACTTGGTGGCAAAACCCTTGTTGGCAATCACAGAGGTCAGACGTTTCTTGTAGTTGGCCACCAGGTTTGCACACATCTCAGGAGGGATTTTGTCCCACTCCTCTTTGCAGATCTTCTCCAAGTCATTAAGGTTTCGAGGCTGACGTTTGGCAACTCGAACCTTCAGCTCCCTCTACAGATTTTCTATGGGATTAAGGTCTGGAGACTGGCTAGGCCACTTCAGGATCTTAATGTGCTTCTTCTTGAGTCACTCCTTTGTTGCCTTGGCCGTGTGTTTTGGGTCATTGTCATGCTGGAATACCCATCCACGACCCATTGTCAATGCCCTGGCTGAGGGAAGGAGGTTCTCACCCAAGATTTGACAGTACATGGCCCCACCCATCGTCCCTTTGATGTGGTGAAGTTGTCCTGTCCCCTTAGCAGAAAAACACCCCCAAAGCATAACGTTTCCACCTCCATGTTTGACGGTGGGGATGGTGTTCTTGGGGTCATAGGCAGCATTCCTCCTCCTCCAAACACGGCGAGTTGAGTTGATGCCAAAGAGCTCCATTTTGGTCTCATCTGACCACAACACTTTCACCCAGTTCTCCTCTGAATCATTCAGATGTTCATTGGCAAACTTCAGACGGGCATGTATATGTGCTTTCTTGAGCAGGGGGACCTTGCGGGCGCTGCAGGATTTCAGTCCTTCACGGCGTAGTGTGTTACCAATTGTTTTCTTGGTGACTATGGTCCCAGCTGCCTTGAGATCATTGACAAGATCCTCCCGTGTAGTTCTGGGCTGATTCCTCACCGTTCTCATGATCATTGCAACTCCATGAGGTGAGAGCTTGCATGGAGCCCCAGGCCGAGGAAGATTGTACAGTTATTTTGTGTTTCTTCCATTTGCGAATAATCACACCAATTGTTGTCACCTTCTCACCAATCTGCTTGGCGATGGTCTTGTAGCCCATTCCAGCCTTGTGTAGGTCTACAATCTTGTCCCTGACATCCTTGGAGAGCTCTTTGGTCTTGGCCATGGTGGAGAGTTTGGAATCTGATTGATTGCTTCTGTGGACAGGTGTCTTTTATACAGGTAACAAGCTGAGATTAGGAGCACTCCCTTTAAAAGTGTGCTCCTAATCTCAGCTCGTTACCTGTATAAAAGACACCTGGGAGCCAGAAATCTTTCTGATTGAGAGCGGGTCAAATACTTATTTCCCTCATTAAAATGCAAATCAATTTATAACATTTTGACATGCATTTGTCTGTATTTTTTTGTTGTTATTCTGTCTCTCACTGTTCAAATAAACCTACCATTAAAATTATAGACTGATCATGTCTTTGTCAGTGGGCAAACGTACAAAATCAGCAGGGGATCAAATACTTTTTTGCCCTCACTGTATATATATATATATATATATATATATATATTTTAATTGTTTTACAATAAACTGATGTTTCTGAGCAATCTTTGGACATTGATTAGACCACAGTCCAACTCACCTCTGAGGTTGTTTTCTGCCACTCCAGTCTTCGGATGGGAGCTGAATCCAAGGCAGATAATATTGCCAAATACGAGTTGAAATTATTTAGCTTCCGTAAGTGCTGCAAGAGAGTGGAGGGAGATGCACCTGAGAATTTGTTGCTTTTTCAACAAACACTCCCAAAACAACTGTTTGCTCATTCTTAAGTATCCACATTTCAAAAGGCATACCTTCATTATTTTGATAAATTTCAGGAGGAGCTTTTCTCGGTCCTGGGCTTTCTCTTGCAGAATGATTATGGAGCGTACCCTGAGGGAGACACGAAGGGGATGAGATGCATCAGTTTGTCACCACATGTTCTCCAGACCTGGCTGCTTTCCTCTCGGAGTGGGCAGTGAACTGAAGTGCTGCAGGGTGACTAGAGAAGCAGCGTGGTGACTAAGAGAAGATGTGAGGTGCAGGCTTACCAGTAGGACATATTGTTAAAGTGCTCTGTGAACTGTGTGAGGTTGGCACTCTTCTCCTCATTCTGCTCCTTAGCCCAAAGCAACACCTCCGGGATCTGTCACAAAAATACATTATTTTTAGAGGTGGAGGGGGAGGGGGGGGGGGGGGGGGGGGGGGGGGTGAGTTGGGGAGGGGGGAGAGTTGGGGAGGAAGGGAGGGGGGAGTATACGCAGGAGGAGGAGGGAGCATACGCAGGAGGAGGAGAAAGACATGCTTGGACGAGCTACCTCAATTTTGTAGAAGAGCTCTGCATCCAGGAGAGTTAGCTGGTCGGCGATCTCATGACTTCGGAAGTCGTGCAGGGTCCCAGGTCTAAAGCCGCACACAGGAAATGGGGGGGAGGGGAGGAAATTAGAAAGAAAAGTGGCCAGAGTTAGAACTAGACTCTGTGATACATTGATGTTCAGAAAACAACAAGGAATTCCTTCACTGTCACGGAGCTGAACATTTCTAAATGCCTTTGCAAACGTAACATTCTCTGAAACAATATAATAAAATACATTGGAATAATATCTTTATTGATCCATTATACAGAGAAAAGGATTGTGATGTTTTAGCTGTCACAGTATCCTTGTCCACTAAATGTGGGCGGGCCTACCTGGCGGCGACACCTCTTGCGGCCAGTGGTTTGAGGGAGTAGGTGTAGCGCAGCAGCTTCCTCTGCTCCACCTTGTCCAAGATGTTCTTGCGGAGCACGCGGGCCAGGCTCAGCTCACCGTTACACACCAGCCTGAACACCAAGTCCATCAGCTGCTTCAGGATGTCCTCCGTCATCTCCACCAGACTGACACACACAGCCGAGGGGATGGAGGGATGAGAGAGGGTGGTGAAGGTGAAAAAAAAAAACAGGAAAAAGACGCGAGGTGGTGTTTACTTGCGCTGCGAGCTGCTCCAATAATTAAACAAATGTAACAGAAGCCCCATCACTGCACACCCCAGCTCGCCATCACGGCTAAATCACACTTGAAAACTGATGGATATGTGCAAAAAGAGCAGACGGAGAGAAGCAGCTGAGTAGGCTATTGGCTGGTAGGTGATGCGGCTGGCTGATCACAGCTGTCACATGTTGATATCTGACATCATGCTCTGAACTCTGTTTGATATTCTCTTTGTAGGACGCGTAGGGATGCATTCTGTGCTCAGTCATTTATTTTGATATGAGAAACATACCCCTCCAACTCTAATTTTTTTTCTTCGGATCTACATGGTGAAAATAGCCGAAAAGTGACGAGTTGGCTTCTCTGTAATCATGATTGGTTAACCCCTCCCCCTTTTATCAAGAACAGACCAAAGGAAATGCGAATAAGAATCGTCATTGACTGCACTGTCATTTGAAGGACATGAAAAAATGGCAGGCAAGAGAACTTACCACAGCTCGTCCACCACTCGGACGAGAACAAAGAAGGTGTTTTTGCTGACTTTCTTCTTGAAGGTGTCTGGGCAGTGACAAAACCTGGTGTATGTGTGGAGGTGTTAAGCAAAACAAACAAATAGTCTCAAAGTATATTACACATCTTACAGTATTCAGAGTGTCTACGACTTTGGGAAGTGATGTGGTAGGGATTTTGCTAGCCATTCCCTATCGTCTCAACCAAGCAGGATTTGTTGGAGGAAACCCTTTGGATCCACATGCGAGAAGTGAAGCATGGAAAGGATATCTGTAGTGCAGCTTTTTGATAAGGTCCTCGGGGGTTATGAACGTTCTGTACGTCGTCAGGAAAGCCTCACAGTACAAGACAAGATCTGGAAAAGAAGACCACAAAGGAGATTACTAAATATCCTCTCGCTTCCCCAGAGCTCCATTTGGGAGGAAGGAAAGTCTGGGTGTACTATAGAAAGCGCAGCTAGAATCCTTAGTTGCTACATCCATTTTTGGACTAATATATATATATATATATATATACATACATACAGTGAGGGAAAAAAGTATTTGATCCCCTGCTGATTTTGTACATTTGCCCACTGACAAAGACATGATCAGTCTATAATTTTAATGGTAGGTTTATTTGAACAGTGAGAGACAGAATAACAACAAAAAAATCCAGAAAAACGCATGTCAAAAATGTTATAAATTGATTTGCATTTTAATGAGGGAAATACGTATTTGACCCCTCTGCAAAACATGACTTAGTACTTGGTGGCAAAACCCTTGTTGGCAATCACAGAGGTCAGACGTTTCTTGTAGTTGGCCACCAGGTTTGCACACATCTCAGGAGGGATTTTGTTCCACTCCTCTTTGCAGATCTTCTCCAAGTCATTAAGGTTTTGAGGCTGACGTTTGGCAACTCGAACCTTCAGCTCCCTCCACAGATTTTCTATGGGATTAAGGTCTGGAGACTGGCTAGGCCACTCCATGACCTTAATGTGCTTCTTCTTGAGCCACTCCTTTGTTGCCTTGGCCGTGTGTTTTGGGTTATTGTCATGCTGGAATACCCAATCCACAACCCATTTTCAATGCCCTGGCTGAGGGAAGGGGGTTCTCACCCAAGATTTGACAGTACATGGCCCCGTCCATTGTCCCTTTGATGCAGTGAAGTTGTCCTGTCCCCTTAGCAGAAAAACACCCCCAAATCATCATGTTTCCACCTCCATGTTTGACGGTGGGGATGGTGTTCTTGGGGTCATAGGCAGCATACCTCCTCCTCCAAACACGGCGAGTTGAGTTGATGCCAAAGAGCTCGATTTTGGTCTCATTTGACCACAACACTTTCACCCAGTTCTCCTCTAAATCATTCAGATGTTCATTGGCAAACTTCAGACGGCCCTGTATATGTGCTTTCTTGAGCAGGGGGACCTTGCGGGCGCTGCAGGATTTCAGTGGTGGGATCTTGCATGGAGCCCCAGGCCGAGGGAGATTGACAGTTATTTTGTGTTTCTTCCATTTGCGAATAATCGCACCAATTGTTGTCACCTTCTCACCAAGCTGCTTGGCGATGGTCTTGTAGCCCATTCCAGCCTTGTGTAGGTCTACATTCTTGTCCCTGACATCCTTGGAGAGCTCTTTGGTCTTGGCCATGGTGGAGAGTTTGGAATCTGATTGATTGATTGCTTCTGTGGACAGGTGTCTTTTATACAGGTAACAAACTGAGATTAGGAGTACTCCCTTTAAGAGTGTGCTCCTAATCTCAGCTTGTTACCTGTATAAAAGACACATGGGAGCCAGAAATCTTTCTGATTGAGAGGGGGTCAAATAATTATTTCCCTCATTAAAATGCAAATCAATTTATAACATTTTTGACATACGTTTTTCTGGATTTTGTTGTTGTTATTCTGTCTCTCACTGTTCAAATAAACCTACCATTAAAATTATAGACTGATCATTTCTTTGTCAGTGGGCAAACGTACAAAATCAGCAGGGGATCAAATACTTTTTTCCCTCACTGTATATATGTATATGGGGGGAAAAAGTGGGGGGAAAAAGTATTTAGTCAGCCACCAATTGTGCAAGTTCTCCCACTTAAAAAGATGAGAGAGGCCTGTAATTTTCATCATAGGTACACGTCAACTATGACAGACAAAATGAGAAAAGAAAATCCAGAAAATCACATTGTAGGATTTTTAATGAATTTATTTGCAAATTATGGTGGAAAATAAGTATTTGGTCAATAACAAAAGTTTTTCAATACTTTGTTATATACCCTTTGTTGGCAATGACACAGGTCAAACGTTTTCTGTAAGTCTTCACAAGGTTTTCACACACGGTTGCTGGTATTTTGGCCCATTCCTCCATGCAGATCTCCTCTAGAGCAGTGATGTTTTGGGGCTGTCGCTGGGCAACACGGACTTTCAACTCCCTCCAAAGATTTTCTATGGGGTTGAGATCTGGAGACTGGCTAGGCCACTCCAGGACCTTGATATGCTTCTTACGAAGCCACTCCTTCGTTGCCCGGGCGGTGTGTTTGGGATCATTGTCATGCTGAAAGACCCAGCCACGTTTCATCTTCAATGCCCTTGCTGATGGAAGGAGGTTTTCACTCAAAATCTCACGATACATGGCCCCATTCATTCTTTCCTTTACACGGATCAGTCGTCCTGGTCCCTTTGCAGAAAAACAGCCCCAAAGCATGATGTTTCCACCCCCATGCTTCACAGTAGTTATGGTGTTCTTTGGATGCAACTCAGCATTCTTTGTCCTCCAACCACGACGAGTTGAGTTTTTACCAAAACGTTATATTTTGGTTTCATCTGACAATATGACATTCTCCCAATCCTCTTCTGGATCATCCAAATGCACTCTAGCAAACTTCAGACGGGCCTGGACATGTACTGGCTTAAGCAGGGGGACACGTCTGGCACTGCAGGATTTGAGTCCCTGGCGGCGTAGTGTGTTACTGATGGTAGGCTTTGTTACTTTGGTCCCAGCTCTCTGCAGGTCATTCACTAGGTCCCCCCGTGTGGTTCTGGGATTTTTGCTCACCGTTCTTGTGATCATTTTGACCCCACAGGGTGAGATCTTGCGTGGTGCCCCAGATCGAGGGAGATTATCAGTGGTCTTGTATGTCTTCCATTTCCTAATAATTGCTCCCACAGTTGATTTCTTCAAACCAAGCTGCTTACCTATTGCAAATTCAGTCTTCCCAACTTGGTGCAGGTCTACAATTTTGTTTCTGGTGTCCTTTGACAGCTCTTTGGTCTTGGCCATAGTGGAGTTTGGAGTGTGACTGTTTGAGGTTGTGGACTGGTGTCTTTTATACTGATAACAAGTTCAAACAGGTGCCATTAATACAGGTAACGAGTGGAGGACAGAGGAGCCTCTTAAAGAAGAAGTTACAGGTCTGTGAGAGCCAGAAATCTTGCTTGTTTGTAGGTGACCAAATACTTATTTTCCACCATAATTTGCAAATAAATTCATAAAAAATCCTACAATGTGATTTTCTTGAAAAAAAAATCTCAAATGTGTCTGTCATAGATGATGTGTACCTATGATGAAAATTACAGGCCTCTCTCATCTTTTTAAGTGGGAGAACTTGCACAATTGGTGGCTGAACAGCGCCGGAGAAGATGGCTGCCGTTTTACAGCCCTCTAACCAATTGTACTATTATGTGTGTTTTTCCGCGTTATTTGTAATTTATTTTGTACATAATGTTTCTGCCATCGTCTCTTATAACCAAAAAGAGCTTCTGGATATCAGGACAGCGATTATTTACCTCTAATTGGCCGAATATTTTTTCTTCAATGAGGCGGCCACGAAGGATATCATACAGACACCCGACAAGGCCCAAATCCCCGTCATTCGCATGAGGAAGAGACGGAGGTATCGTGGACGTAGGTCGGGGTGCCTTGTAAGGATCCGACGGCGAGCGAGTAAACTGCCGCTCCCATCAATCCTATTAGCCAATCTTCAATCATTGGAGAACAAATTGGATGACCTAAGATTACGGTTATCCTACCAACGTGACATAAAAAACTGTAATATCTTATGTTTCACCGAGTCGTGGCTGAACGACGACATGGATAACATACAGCTAGCGGGCTATACGCTACATCGGCAGGATAGAACGGCTAACTCCGGTAAGACAAGGGGTGGCGGTCTGTGTATATTTGTAAACAACAGCTGGTGCACAAAATCAAATACTAAGGAAGTCTCTTATGATAAGCTGTAGACCACACTATTTACCAAGAGAGTTTTCATCAATATTTTTCATAGCTGTCTATTTACCACCACAAACCAATGCTGGCATTAAGATTGCACTGAATGAGTTGTATGAGGCCATAAATCAACAGGAAAACGCTCATCCAGAGGCAGCGCTCCTAGTGGCCGGGGACTTTAATGCAGGGAAATTTAAATCCGTTCCACCTAATTTCTACCAGCATGTTAAATGTGCAACCAGAGGAGAAAAAAAACTCTGGACCACCTTTACTCCACACACAGAGACGCATACAAAGCTCTCCCTCGCCCTCCATTTGGCAAATCTGACCATAACTCTATCCTCCTGATTCCTGCTTATAAGCAAAAACTAAAGCACGAAGCACCAGTGACTCGGTTAATAAAAAAGTGGTCAGATGACGCAGATGCTAAGCTACAGGACTGTTTTGCTAGCACAGACTGGAACATGTTCCGGGATTCTTCAGACAGCATTGAGGAGTACACCACATCAGTCACTGGCTTCATCAATAAGTGCATTGATGATGTCGTCCCCACAGTGACCGTACGTACATACCCCAACCAGAAGCCATGGATTACAGGAAACATCCACACTGAGCTAAAGGGTAGAGCTGCCGCTTTCAAGGAGCGGGACTCTAACCCGGACGCTTATAAGAAATCCCGCTATGCCCTCCGACGAACCATCAAACAGGCAAAGAGTCAATACAGGACTAAGATTGAATCGTACTACACTGGCTCTGACGCTCGTCGGATGTGGCAGGGCTTGAAAACTATTACAGACTACAAAGAGAAGCACAGCCGCGAGCTGCCCAGTGACACAAGCCTACCAGACGAGCTAAACCACTTCTATGCTCGCTTCGAGGCAAGCAACACTGAAGCATGCATGAGAGCACCAGCTGTTCCGGATGACTGTGATCACGCTCTCCGTAGCCGATGTGAGTAAGACTTTTAAGCATGTCAACATTCACAAGGCCGCAGGGCCAGACGGATTACCAGGACGTGTACTCCGAGCATGTGCTGACCAACTGGCAAGTGTCTTCACTGACATTTTCAACATGTCCCTGACTGAGTCTGTAATACCAACATGTTTCAAGCAGACCACCATAGTCCCCTTGCCCAAGGACTCTAAGATAACCTGCCTAAATGACTACCGACCCGTAGCACTGACGTCTGTAGCCATGAAGTGCTTTGAAAGGCTGGTCATGGCTCACATCAACAGCATTATCCCAGAAACCCTAGACCCACTCCAATTTGCATACCGCCCCAACAGATCCACAGATGATGCAATCTCTATTGCACTCCACACTGCCCTTTCCCACCTGGACAAGAGGAACACCTATGTGAGAATGCTATTAATTGACTACAGCTCAGCATTCAACACCATAGTGCCCTCTAAGCTCATCACTAAGCTAAGGATCCTGGGACTAAACACCTCCCTCTGCAACTGGATCCTGGACTTCCTGACGGGCCGCCCCCAGGTGGTAAGGGTAGGTAACAACACATCTGCCACACTGATCCTCAACACGAGGGCCCCTCAGGGGTGCGTGCTCAGTCCCCTCCTGTACTCCCTGTTCACCCATGACTGCATGGCCAGGCACGACTCCAACACCATCATTACGTTTGCCGACGACACAACAGTGGTAGGCCTGATCACAGACAACGATGAGACAGCCTATAGGGAGGAGGTCAGAGACCTGGCCGTGTGGTGCCAGGACAACAACCTCTCCCTCAACGTGACCAAGACAAAGGAGATTATTGTGGACTACAGGAAAAAAAAGAGGACTGAGCACGCCCCCATTCTCATCGACGGGGCTGTAGTGGAACAGGTTGAGAGCTTCAAGTTCCTTGGTGTCCACATCACCAACGAACTATCCAAGGTCCAAACACACCAAGACAGTCGTGAAGAGGGCACGACGAAGCCTATTCCCCCTCAGGAGACTGAAAAGATTTGGCATGGGTCCTCAGATCCTCAAAAAATTATACAGCTGCACCATCGAGAGCATCCTGACTGGTTGCATCACCGCCTGGTATGGCAACTGCTTGGCCTCCGACCACAAGGCACTACAGAGGGTAGTGCGTACAGCCCAGTACATCACTGGGGCCAAGCTTCCTGCCATCCAGGACCTCTATACCAGGCGGTGTCAGAGGAAGGCCCTCAAAATTGTCAAAGACTCCAGCCACCCTAGTCATAGACTGTTCTCTCTGCTACCGCACGGCAAGCGGTACCGGAGTGCCAAGTCTAGGTCCAAAAGACTTCTCAACAGCTTCTACCCCCAAGCCATAAGACTCCTGAACAGCTAATCATGGCTAAACTGACTATTTGCACTGCCCCCCCACCCCATCCTTTTACGCTGCTGCTACTCTGTTAATTATTTATGCATAGTCACTTTAACTCTACCCACATGTACATATTACTTCAACTACCTCAACTAGCCGGTGCCCCCGCACATTGACTCTGCACCGGTACCCCCCTGTATATATAGCCTCCCTACTGTTCTTTTATTTGACTTCTGCTCTTTTTTTCTCAACACTTTTTTTGTTGTTGATTTATGTTTACTTTTTTTGTTAAAAATAAATGCACTGTTGGTTAAGGGCTGTAAGTAAGCATTTCACTGTAATGTCTGCACCTGTTGTATTCGGCGCATGTGGCCAATAAAATTTGATTTGATTTGATTTGACTAAATACTTTTTTCCCCCCACTATATATATATTATATATATATCATATATGTATATAGATATATAATATATATTATATAGATCTATATATATAGATTTATTATATTATATATATACTCTATATATATATATTGTATAGTATATATATATGTATATATTATATTATATGTATATAGAATATATATGTATTATATATATATATATGGATATATATATATATATATATATATATGTATCATTATATATCTATTAATGTTATATATTATATATATATATATATATATTATATATATATGTCTATTATTATATATATATATGTATATATATATTATAATATTATATATTGTGTAATATATGTATGTGTAGATATGTGTATATTTAATATATATATGTATATATATATATATATGTGTATCATTATGATATGTAATATATATTATCATCTGTGTAATATTATATATATATATGTGTATTAATATATATGTGTATATATATATTAATTATTATATATGTGTATATATATATATGTGTATATATATATATGTGTGTGTATATGTACACACACACACACACACACGTTGATTCTTAAAGGATATAACTTGTAAATGCCTCGAGCTTAGTTCAACTGTCGTACCCCATCACAACCCAAAATATAAGCTTGTTTTATTACAATGTTTGTCAACAAAGTAAATGTAAACAAATACTATCGCCTCAAAACATGATTAAAACTATAATTTTGATATCCTGGATGGTCAGTTTTTTACCAAAACAGAAGCGGGGTGACCACTTTGTTATTGTTTCAATTAAGGATTCTAGCTTTAACACCAGTACACCTAACTTGGATAGGTCTTCATAAAAGAACGGAGAGAAATCATGAAAAACATAAGAACCTTTCATCTGAGTGGACACATACTGCATGTAGTAATCCCTCTGGGGTTGTGTGTGTGTACTACGGAGATCATAAATACCTTTGCGGTCCGTTTCTGTGGCGTGGACTAATAAAATATCCCCCGATCCGGCTCGGACATCTGGACCGTCGTCGTTCTGGTATCACACGTGGACAGATGAAAAGTTGTAAGGGCAGAGAGAGAGGATTAGCCTAAGTGTAGCCCTACATGTGACTATCCTGATGAAACCATTCCGACAATATGTTAGCCATGAGAGGGTTATCGATAAGGAGATAGGCGCTACTAAAACTGCACTGACCTTGCCATGCCAACTCCAGCTTTTCGCCTATAATCACATACTTATCGTCTACTGTGAGAATGCAATCATATAGCCCCATCAAACTCAACTCTGGACTTCGAAGCCAGATCCACTGTGTTTTGTCATTGTTCCCCTCTATTCAGGGACTGATTTAGACCTGGGACACCAGGTGTGTGCAATTCATTATCAGGTAGAACAGAAAAGCAGCAGGCTCCAGACCTCGTAGGGTAAGAGTTGAATACCCATGATAGACAGTAACAGACGGGGATGTTGCATTTGAGTTATAGAGGCAGGGGCCAGCAGAGGGAAAGCTTATTGTAGGACAGGGCTCTACACTGACATTTTTTACAAGGAGCACATGTGCTCCTAAATTGAAAAAGTTATGAGCACAAAAATAAATGTAGGTGCACAATAAAAGTATTTGAGGAAGAGTGTTTTTATGATAAGAAATGGTTAAAAGTTGATGAATAAATGGTTTTTGGAGTGTTCCATGCTCAATCAATTACAATGTACCCTCAAATATTTGAGTCACTTAGGTGAGACAAACATTTTCAGCTGCTCTTTTAAGGGGTGGGACGTTACTGTTGTAACCGTGGGACTCGCATGTCTTTCTGTGAAAGATGAGATTCTCCGACATGTCTCTTCGCTAGCAGTTGAGCAAGCTCAAACTAACATTGAAAAATAACCTAGTGTGTGAACAAAACGATGTAAATAGCCAAGAAACACGAGGACAAAGTCACACTAGTAGACTTTCGGGTAAGTTTGCACACATCTATTTTTAGGCGCAAATGCGAGTAAAATGGTAGCACTGTAGAGCCTTGTAGGATCCTATGAAGTATCTCATAAAAAGAGGCATCTCCTGCTCTATGATTAAACAGCTTGAGCTGAAAGACTTGAGGTAAACTGGACTGACCATCAATAGCAGAAAATGAAGACACGTTTACCTCCTGCTTTAGTGTTAACCGGGACATGATCTCCATGTGATCGATGAGGGAAAGCTCATCGGTCTCCTCGCTACTCTGCCCTTCTTCAGAGGACTTCTGTCTTCGGCTGAGAGAGAGAGAAACAGATCATAACAAAAAAGGGAGAAAAAGTTAATAAGCAAATCAAAATCATTTTAGGTTAAATTGTTGAATCCTTCCTTCTGTCACTGGAGAGTAGGAACAATGGAGAATTATTCACTTTTTATTGTATTTATTATTTATTTAACCACAAAATTAACAGAAAGGCCAGACTGTCATGGCATGGGTTCTTACCTGTCATCAGACATGTCCTTGTTATTGCACAGTGTGTTCTCTGAGGCAGTGTCCTCCAGTGAGTCATCTATGGCAGACGAGTCCTGACAACAACACACAATGTGGTTAGGACTAGTCTCGCACCAAATCCAGCAGTTTCACAATGATTTGCAGTGGAAAACAAAAATGTGAATTTCTCATTGGACATTTATTTCTATGCTTGTTTCAGTATATTTTCTTCTGTTCGGTGCCTAATGAACATGACCCTGAGATCAAGTTAAAGGTGAAAATGCTTTCTTAGTTAAGGTAGATGTGTGGGTACGTTGTCTAAGCACATGGAGGTTTCAACTTAGTATTCAGTGAGTTGTTCCGTCAGCTTTGAGGAAAATGGACAATGGTAGCGTTCACACACACCATTAATATCACACGCTGTATGGATCAGTGGAGGCTGCTGAGGGGAGGACGGCTCATAATAATGGCTAGAAAATAGCAAATGGAATGACAAACACATGGAAACCATGTGTTTGATGTATTTGATATCATTCCACCTATTCCGCTCCAGTCATTACCCCGAGCCAGTCCTCCCCAATTAAGGTGCCACCAATCTCCTGTGGTATGGATACATGCATAACTCCAGCCTCACTTCTCTAGTGCAAGTGCAACACTAAATATACAACACACTTAATATATAATGCCTTCAGAAAGTATTCACAACCCTTTACTTTTTCTACATTTGGTTGTGTTACAAAGTGGGATTAAAATTGATTTAATTGTAATTTTCTGTCAACAATCTACACAAAATACTCTAATGTCAAAGTGGAAGAAAAATTCTAACATCTGTAAAATAATTATAGAAAATAAAACACAAATATATCTTGATTAGATAAGTATTCAAACCCCCTGAGTTACATGTTAGAATCATTCTTTCTGGGTAAATCTCTAAGAGCTTGCATACCTGGATTGTACAATATTTGCACATTTTTTTAAATTCTTCAAGCTCTGTCAAGTTGGTTGTTGATCATTGCTAGACAGCCATTTTCAAGTCTTGCCATAGATTTCCAAGCTGATTTAAGTCAAAACTAGAACTAGGCCCCTTAGGAACATTCGATGTCATCTTGGTTAGCAACTCCAGTGTAGATTTGGCCCTGACGGACCTTTGAGATAATTGTATGTGTGGGGTACAGAGATGAGGTAGTCATTCGAATGTTAAACACTATTATATACACATACATGCAACTTATTATGTGACTTGTTAAGCACATTTTTACTCCTGAACTTATTTATGCTTGCCATAAGAAAAGGGGTTGAATACCTGTTGACTTAAGACATTTCAGCTTTTCATTTTTGAATTTGTAAACATGTTTAAAACATGTAATTCCACTTTGACATTATGGGGTAGTGTGTAGGCCAGTGACACAAAATCTCAATGTAATCCTTTTTAAATTCAGGCTGTAACACAACAAAATGTGGAAAAAGTCAAGAAGTGTGAATACTTTCTGAAGGCATTGTATACCCATCTCCATCCCAGAAGACAGGCCAGAAAAAAGCTAAAAACGTGGGGAATGGGGAGAACTTAGAGCGAGAAAGACTGACGAAATAAGCTGGGTGATTAGTCGTTTTATTGGGTTATCCTTCCTGATGAAAGGCCTGATGGAAGATGTTAAATACACAGACTTAACGCAGAGCCATTCATGAATCCTGTTGTAATTAGTTGCTACGATCCAGACCTGAGCCAACGGTCGTGGACAACCACCTTAACGGGCCAAGTATGTGAACATGATAGAAAATGTCTCACTGTCACTTGGAGACAAACCCCCCTTGAGACAATGACAGCGGAGTGACTGATGTCCTTTGAGCTAGAACTACACATAGGCCCATATAGTAGGGAATGGGGACAGTCCAGTGGTAGGAGGGATTTGGGGAAAGGAAGAGAACCCATGGTAATGTACAGGCAGTTAGCGAAGCAGGGCATGCCAAGCGGTCGAAGAGACACAGTGAACCCTGAGAAGTCAGGTCACGTTCAAATGTGGTTACTTAGTGAGGTCGGTTGTCAGTCATGGTACACTGTGTCTGTGAAAGCACACCGTGCTCTCCGCTCTCTCCTCGCTCCCATGCCGCCTCTCTGCTAAGGCTACTTACTCGGCGGGAGAGCGGCCCGTCTCCGTTGGCTTGGCTGGATGAGTACAGATTGACATACTCTCCCTCCCCACCTTCCTTGTTAGCGCTTTCGCTCTACGGGGGAAAGAGGACAGCAAAGAGAATGACAAATGCTAGGAAAAAGCAATAAATGTGGTTCCTTTTTTTGTATACTCCGAAAACTTCTCGAAACTAGCTGGACAAAACAAACAAGTACCTATATAATCTCAAATGAAACAACTAAAAACCAATTGTTCCGATCACCACAGCATACACAGGGCTACAGACTTGTTTTTTTTACCTAGGGTTTGGCCTTTTTTCAAGGATAAGAACATCACGTTCCCCACATTGAAACAGCCCTTTGCTAACAATGTTTATACCCTACTCCAGATCTGTACTCTTCTTCAATAGCAAACACCCCCCCTCCCCACCATCAAACGCAATCCCATTTTATTTTCGCACAGTGCCTAACGCTTGTCACGACACACAGCTAGGGCTCACCAAAGAGGTTTGATGAGTGTCAGAGAAAGAAGAGTCAGTGGGAAGACAGATGGCAAGAGAGCCACCAGAGCTGTCCAGCGAGCCGTTGGCCACCAGCACAGGGTCAGGGCTGCCACTGCCCGGGGCCGCTAGGTCCATGCTCTGTGATTGGTGGACAATTGGAGAGTGGGAAGAGACAGATGAGAGAAGATATGTAATGGAAGATTGACAGAGAGGCGCAAAGTCCTGAGAATAGGACCGGAGAACTGTCTTATGCTGAGAGAGCAAGGGTGAGAAAAGAGAAGGAAGGAGAAAGAGCTACTTGAGAGATCTACAAGGGCAAATAATTGAGAGAGAAAAAAAGAATTGAGAGAGAAGCATTGGCATACTTGCCATCAGAGAACAATATGACTATCTGACTGGTCAGGTAGTGACTAGCATTCCTAATCCAACTCAGTCTCTTCAAAATTACATTTTCACAAAATGTGCTTGTTGTAACTTGTAACAGATCTGTTGAATATGCCATGCATTTGGGTTTAATTGAAACCAAGTCAAAATGGTGCAACAAGGATCAATGGTTCTTCAGCTAGAACAAGTCAATTGTCCTCATCATTGCTCCAAAACTAGAAAGATTAGACAAAGAAGAATACTGAACATTAATTTGATACGGTTGTATCATAATGGTTCTGGATTGTGTTCAAGCCCCAGTTTTAAAGGAATGATATCCGCTGATTCAAATAACACATTTCACAAACTCTGGACGAAAACACACATTTTCAACGGCATGCTTTCTCTCTGACAGAGATTGTCATTTGGAGTGTGTAAACATTAAGGGGTCAGGCAGAGAGTGAAGAATGAAAGTGTGTTTGCCAGTGTGTGTGTTTTTTGCCCAATATACTCCATTATCAGTAGCTGAACACGTCTACAATGGCTAATAAAATAACTTTTTGTATTGGTGTCATTACTTCTAAAGCAGAAGCATAGTCAAGGGTTCAACTAGTATTGGTTTTCTTTTCAAATACTTCCGATGCACTTGATCGAGCTTGCCTGACACTGTGGGACCAATGAAATAGTCCCCAAAGTGCAAAACACCCATCTGGCTTTCCAGGCAGCATACTGTAGATACAGATTAAGTCAACATAGTCTCATCTCTATGCCAGACAGGCTTAATGAAAAGCTCAATTAAAATGTAACTTTTATTTGATTTAGCACCGCATTTTGCCCCCAACCTTCCAGGTTAAATAAAACGTTTTAGAAAGAAAACAAATAATATTTAAAGCCAAGTCTGCTGTAGAGAGTGAGAAAAGCAGAGAATCAGACAGGCACTCACCATGGGGGTGGTCAGGGAGGCCTGGCGGCTCAGGAAGGAGTTAGAGACTGACATGCTGAGAGCAGCCCCCGTCTCCTCCTCCACCACCGCAGCCTGCGACTGCTGAAGGTGGCAGGAGAGAGAGGACGAGGACGAGGAGGAGGAAGAGGCAGAGTGGGAGGCCTGGAAGGGGGGAAAAGGAGAGCGTGAGGGAAGAAGAAAGTAGAGAGAGAGGAGCAGAGAGAAAGTGCAGTGGGAGATGTTAGTTAGTCTACGCAGATAGTTAAGCCCAAACTAGAAGAAGCAGAAAACAATAGGCTTGATGGACTAAAAGAATGCTACGGCAGACAAAGCATTAACATAGAGACACACCAAGCCTTTCTAATGTTCTACTGTTACCTCTGTGTTATGAATCGCTCTGATGGAGGGTGGGCTTTCCAGAAAGAAAAAAGAATGAGATATGATGAGTGCAATGGAAAATGAAGCAAAAAAACCCCTGAAGAGATTGGACAGTAAATCAAATGCAAATGTAAACACTTAATATCATGACAAAAGGGGAAAAGCCATAGAGAACGTTCTCTATCTCAGTCATGGCAATTGCAGTGAGTAGGGAGGGAATGGAAATGTCAGACCCGAGACCACATGTAGCCGACAGTGAGCAACAACACAAGCTGTACCAGAGAGAGCTACACCCAAATTAAGATTTATCGACCACACAATGTATTGTACTGTATATACTACCAAAGAACTACTGTTGCCGTGCAACAAGCTGTGCAGCCTGGCCTCAGAGCCATATGAAACATCCTATGTATTTCTGAGCAGCTCCAAGATGTACGATACCTACTAATGGTCTAGTTACTTTAGACGGAAACAAAAGTAGGGAAGTTGGTTGGGGAGGATGGGTGGACGTAATTCGTGACCATCTAGCAATCCAAAGGTTGTGTGCGTGTTCGAGTCGTGACGGGGACAACTGTAGCATTTTAGCTAACCCTTATTCAAAACTTAAGGGAAATTCCACTCAAAAGTATTTTGGTATTTTATTCATTAGTCCACTGTTGATACAGTCCCAAAATGTTCTGCATGCCAGCAGTCAAGTTTTTAAGATATTGGACTTTCAAGAAGCAAAGTGTCACCGGCCACATCATCATGATGATGCATATTTTTTTTTTTATGCATCTTATGATGCAAAACGCATCATCATGATGATGTGGCCAGTGACAATGCTGGAAACTACTTCACATCCTAGTCGGGAACTCAGACATTTCCGACTTGCTGATTTGTTGAACGTGGCACGTGTATAACTACAACCAGTTACCATGTCGGAAATGTCAGAGTTTCCTAGTTCCGACTAGCGCATGAAGGTGGCATGTATCAACAGTGGACTAAAGGAAAAAATACTAAAATATAATTTTGGAGTGGAGTTTCCCTTTAACCCATTTCACCTAAGGTTTTACATAAATTATCCTAACCTTTGTCGTTAGTTCCCCTAAACGCCTACATACATTCTCCCCATAATTCTCCTTTATTGTTAAGGCGCAACAAGCAACCTGGTCTCAGAGAAATAGTATAATACTATACGTGCTCCAAGACAAATTATAAGGTACATCATTAAATTCGTATGCTATTGTAAGACCAGCTAAGACGCTTGATACGTCCTATAATTCATATGATATTTTATGATCGCTATTCCATTCATAATGCAACCTAACGTAATATATCATACTAAATAGTGTTACAGATTTACGTACAGAATAATATGAATTGCCCAGAGACCACGTTGAACTATGCCTACATACAGTGCAAAGCACATGACTGGCCTAAATGGAAATAACTAGCTACTGTATCAGCTTTGTACCAGAAGTAGGTGGACTTTCTGCTCAGGTAGAAGTGTATTAATTCTGGCAATCAGAAAGTACAGTCGTGGTCAAAAGTTTTGAGAATGACACAAATATAAATTTTCACAAAGTCTGCTGCCTCAGTTTTTATGATGGCAATTTGCATATACTCCAGAATGTTATGAAGAGTGATCAGATGAATTGCAATTAATTGCAAAGTCCCTCTTTGCCATGAAAATGAACTTAATCCCCAAAAAACATTTCCACTGCATTTCAGCCCTGCCACAAAAGGACCAGCTGACATCATGTCAGTGATTCTCTCGTTAACACAGGTGAGTGTTGACGAGGACAAGGCTGGAGATCACTCCGTCATGCTGATTGAGTTAGAATAACAGACTGGAAGCTTTAAAAGGAGGGTGGTGCTTGAAATCACTGTTCTTCCTCTGTTAACCATGGTTACCTGCAAGGAAACACGTGCCGTCATCATTACTTTGAACAAAAAGGGCTTCACAGGCAAGGATATTGCTGCTAGTAAGATTGCACCTAAATCAACCATTTATCGGATCATCAAGAACTTCAAGGAGAGCTTGCTCAGGAATGGCAGCAGGCAGGTGTGAGTGCATCTGCACGCACAGTGAGGCGAAGACTTTTGGAAGATGGCCGGTGTCAAGAAGGGCAGCGAGGAAGCCACTTCTCTCCAGGAAAAACATCAGGGACAGACTGATATTCTGCAAAAGGTACAGGGATTGGACTGCTGAGGACTGGGGTAAAGTCATTTTCTCTGATGAATCCCCTTTCCGATTGTTTGGGGCATCCGGGAAAAAGCTTGTCCGGAGAAGACAAGGTGAGCGCTACCATCAGTCCTGTGTCATGCCAACAGTAAAGCATCCTGAGACCATTCATGTGTGGTGTTGTTCTCAGCCAAAGGAGTAGGCTCACTCACAATTTTGCCTAAGAACACAGCCATGAATAAAGAATGGTACTAACACATCCTCTGAGAGAAACTTCTCCCAACCATCCAAGAACAGTTTGGTGACAACCAATGCCTTTTCCAGCATGATGGAGCACCTTGCCATAAGGCAAAAGTGACAACTAAGTGGCTCGGGGAACAAAACATCGACATTTTGGGTCCATGGCCAGGAAACTCCCCAGACCTTAAACCCATTGAGAACTTGTGGTCAATCCTCAAGAGGCAGGTGGACAAACAAAAACCCACAAATTCTGACAAACTCCAATCATTGATTATGCAAGAATGGGCTGCCATCAGTCAGGATGTGGCCCAGAAGTTAATTGACAGCATGCCAGGGCGGATTGCAGAGGTCTTGAAAAAGAAGGGTCAACACTGCAAATATTGACTCTTTGCATAAACGTAATGTAATTGTCAATAAAAGCCTTTGACACTTTTGGAATGCTTGTAATTATACTTCAGTATACCATAGTAACATCTGACAAAAATATCTAAAAACACTGAAGCAGCAAACTTTGTGAAGACCAATACTTGTGTCATTCTCAAAACTTTTGACCACGACTGTACACAATGTGGACATGACTGTTAACAACAGCCAGCACAGAAACACAAACACCCTTTTCTCTCCCTCCCTACATCCAGGGGCGCAACCCCCCCAGTTTTATCATTGGAATGTGATACAGAACGAGGCAACGGTGTGCTTTAGGACCATGCAGACGCCTCCGAGTGGTCGGGTAGGCTGTTTGGAGTGTTTATCAGACTGGATACATTTTTTATTTTTGTCCCCCCCCCCCCCACTTCTAAAACCAAAGTTGCACCCCTGCCTATATCTATAGCTTAAGTTCAAACCAATCCTTGTTTATTTCCCTGCTCCCCAGAGGATTCTGTGATTCGTCTTAATCCTCATCCAATATGAACTTGGCATGCAGTAATGCACAAGGCCAAATATCAGGAAAAAATGTTACATTTTCGTTTCCCACATTTTGATCAGCTTTAGATATGTTTAAAAATATCCGTAATCATGGATAAACCTTGAGCATAGATTGACTCATTTATATCGGGTTCATATTTTTTATTCTGGCAGAGCAAATTACTTTTTCCAACCATGAATGTCTGGTAGGGAGATTATGGCATTGACTTTAATCTGGGAAGTGAACTTCTACAGCCTTGCAGAGGCCTGAAATAAACATAACAATGGCCAAACTGATGAAAACAAAGTTAAGTACTGTGGTGGGATGTAAGATGAGACATCATGGAGGACAAGTCTGTACAAAAGGACAATCGTCTTCTGCCATCGGGGTAAAAAAAACATGTGACTGAGAAATTGTAGTAATTTGTACCATTGCACTGATTGTATTTGTTGTTAAATATGTTTTTTTTTTCCTGATGCAGAAGGTAGCCTACCGGTTAGAGCGTTGGGCCAGTAACCGAAAGGTCGCTGGTTCGAATACCCGAGCCGACAAGGTGATAAATCGGCTAAAGTGCACTAGTTTGCTCCAGGGGCGCCGTACTACTATGGCTGATCCTGTAAAGCAACACATTTCACTGCACCTATCTGGTGTATGTGACAATAAAACATATTTTTTTCCTCTGTATTGAAGTAGGGTTTGGAGATGTGTTACCACTAGAGTCTGCTTGTCATTTGGATGTTCAGGACTTTCAACACCCTGCTTTTCTTCATCTATTGTTATTGGATGGGCTAAAACATAATGGACTCACTCACCACTCAATCCTACACACTTGGTGCAATATATGATAAGAAAATTAGTTTCCTGAAATGTATATGTATTGGGCCAAAATCCATGGATGTGGGTGAACAGGATGTGTGGATGGGCTGGTGTACTGTATGCTGTAACACTGGTGAGTGTGAGGCCTCAGGGTGTCTTCAGTGTGTGAGGTGAGGGGCTGTAGCTTACCAGCTGCCTCTGTTTGGGTGGCAGTGCCGGGGGTGGGAGGGGCTCGTGAACAGAGTCGCTGCTGCTAAACGAGTCGTTGAAGCCATATACTTCCTGGAAGCGCTTGTTGCGTTGCTCATAGATGCTCTCGCTCTGCGGCATCTGGTAGAAAACCGAGGGCTGGGGCTCCGAGTAGTCCTCCACAAACTGCATGTACTTCAGTACTGTGTGGGTGAGAAGTACGCATATGCACACACAGACACAGACCCCCCAAAAATCAGGGCATATTACAATGACAATGCGCTTGCAGATGATAATGACAGTGTTCTTCAGAGTATCCCAAACAGTATAAAACATTGTTATGGTGCTTAGATGAGGAGCGGTTTTTAATCTACATGTCAAACTTTGGTTTAAACGGAGCACTTCACTTCCAATCCTGTAAATTATAACATTGTAAAAAATGACTGTTGAATGAACAATGGTCACGGTGTGTATAAAATACAATTTTAAAACAAGAAAATCGTATTTTGGGGGAGATGACAATGCTAGCCCTGTAGAAACCCTGACCATTTAGTCATTAGAACAGTGCTCAGCTGTTGGAAATCTAAATAAACAGGCCAGGGGAGGCACAAGTGCAGCCAAACCTGCTGGTCCTGGCTTTAAGCTCTTTATAAAGCTACTGAACATATCGAATGTGCTGATTACTACATAGTTATGGCCACCCATCCCCTGAGAGGGACATTCAGCACAAGCTCATTTCCTGCACGGCCACTCCTCTTTTCACTGACATATTCCATCAACAAAGGCATTATTTCATGTGAGCTCACAGGGCTGGCATAAGTGAAACCTCCAGGCCTCCATGTGTGTGTGTCTGTGTGTCCACAGCTAGGAGCCCTGCCATCAGTGTGCACACACCCACACCCACCACACACGCACAGGGCCAGTTCTATTTAATTCTGTGGTTTTATCATTCTAGCACAGCAGTAGGCCTCCATGTGCTTTACAGACATACCTAAGGGGCCTAGTCCGCTGTGCCTCTACATCTGCATTGCTTGCTGTTTGGGTTTTTAGGGTGGGTTTCTGTATAGCACTTTGTGACATCTGCTGATGTAAAAAGGGCTTTATAAATACATTTGATTGAATTTGATTGATATTTGGAGCTTGAATTTGAAAACCCTAAGTTTCTAAATCCTGGTAACAGTAGAGTTTGTATAAGGCTTTTTATGAATCCTCTCTCTCTCCCCCTGACATCAGATACTCACTGTGACGGCTCTTCTTCTCTGGGAGTGGCGGTGGACTCTGAGGTACGTCTGTCGTCTCGCTGGCGCTGAACTCGGACACAAACCCCCCGGCGGCATTGCACAGGGGCGAGATGTTGGACGTGAACAGGGGGAAGGGGGGCACAGGCGGTAGGTCCTCCTCCATGAGGTTGTCGTACTGGGATGGGTGGCGCTCAAAGGAGACGCGCCAGGAGGAGCCCGAGTAGGAGCTTTCGGAAAAGCCCGAGCAGGCGCCACCTCGCCGCTTCTTTTCCGGCAGGGCAGGGGGTGGCGGGGCGGGAGTCATGCGGGAGTAGAGGGGGGACACGGAGGAGCCCTGGAAGGATGGCTGGGGGGAGGGGAGGCTGAAGTGGGGCTGTGCCAGCGGCGGGCCGGGGCCAGGGCAGGGGGAGGAAGACTCACTGTGGAACTCGGGCAGGGGGCTGAGGCACCCCCCCACCGGCACAGGAGTCATGTGCTCCAGGCTGGACAGGTCCTGGTGCAGGAAGTCGTAGTCCGGGTCGTAGTGGTCTGTGGTGTCTGTGGAGGGGAGTAGGGGGAGAGAGAAAGAGACAGGGGGGGACAGGTGAGTCACCACACAGAGCATTGAAAACAAAGCCACACTGTCACTTTGGCATAAAGGGCACTTTTCTCTACAAACCCCACTCTGAACAACAGGAGCACAACAAACACATTGGCAGAATCTATTTTGATTGGGGGGGAATTGGGATTTCATTCCCAATTCCCCCCCATCTTATCGCCCTGACAACCCTCACTCTCTTGTCCCCGGTCCCAGAAGGTGTCAGCTGTGGTATTACAGCTTAAGACTTTTTGAGGCTGCATCTCAATACCGTCGCATGGCTTCCTCTCCTCAACAAATTCCCAGTAGGCATCCACCATATTGCTCTCCTCCCTGCTATCCTGTTTCAAGACTGATGCAGATGAAGGAGAGGAGGCCGCTTAAAAGACTATTGAGATGCAGCCTCTGTGAAGTCTTGTCTCTTTGCTCACAGGATGGTGGTCACAGCTCGTAAGCAAAGCTCTGTGCTGTTGGAGGTGGCAGGAACAGGAAGCTCCTGCCTGCGTGTGTCGACTCATTACACGCATCAGCAGCAGGCTTGTTTCCACACACTGTGGCTGCCACATCAAGACAACCTATGGTGATCCCGTGGTGACAGCGGTGCTCCTAATCAAAGAGACAGGCCTCTCCTGCTGGGATCATAGTGGCTCCTCTCGAACCAGGCCTCTGTGAAGCCAGTGCAGGAACATGTAACTCATATGTGTTTGTGTTGTGTGTGAGTTTCATGTGTGTCTGTGTTAGGGATGGGCATTTGAAATGTTTTGACTGTTCGAGTACTTGCATGAAAAAAATAAAAATAATTACAACACAAGGCCCGCACTGGATGTTTTTTTGTGCATTTATCTATATGTCATAAGATCACAACAAAGCGTAATTTATCATAACCATAACAGATAACAAATCCTAATTGCCTCAATAAAAAAGCAAGTGCCATGTAAGATTAATTTATTGAAACCGTAATATCAACTTGTTATTGTATTATATCGTGGAACACAATCTTCAAAAAGGCTGTAACCTCAGCAGTGGCGCTTGCTTGTAGAAACCTATGGCTGTGCAATGGCATAGCCTTGTTTTGTTAATTTAGCAGACAGACGCTCTTATTTCCAGAGCCCTTATCACAGTCAAGACACACCTATTTTATAGTTTTAAAAAACATGACGTAATCTAACAGAATAAAATAGAAACACACTATTTTTCCAAGTGAATAAAGGTATTAGTTTGAAGTGATGAGCATCTCATGCCTGGAGCAGTTACAGTATTCTCAGAGTGACATTTGAAACGGGGCTCAATTTGGTTGAGTTGAAAGAAGAAAATAAATCTGGGTTACAAACCAACATTTGTCTTCTTTTCGATATACAGACGTTCGATTTAGTTTATTCTGCCTCTTCTTTGGAATTTTCAAAATGAACAATTCCACATTGAACACTGCATGTGATGAATTACGGCCACGAAATCTGTTTGGTGAGTAGGCATATGCTTAATGATTCTGATGAAAATACGCTCTTTATCAAACTAATGTTTTTGCATATTGTCAGTGTGGAACCTGTCTATGTTTAGGGGGGTTATAGTCTAGGCTAACCAACTCTAAATGGCATTAGCAGTTCGCAAAGTAGCTTAAGCGTAAAATAGACGCGACGCAATTATTCAAAAACTGTAGCTCGGTGTTGGAACACATATTTTCCTACTTCAATCAACCAGTCCATTTTGGATTTGTGATGAAACTGTCATCATTTGGCAAGGAATGTAGATTATGTAACCCATCAGTTAGATATATTTTTTATAGGCATTTACAGTGGGGGAAAAACATATTTAGTCAGCCACCAATTGTGCAAGTTCTCCCACTTAAAAAGATGTGAGAGGCCTGTAATTTTCATCATAGGTACACGTCAACTATGACAGACAAATTGAGGAAAGAAATTCCAGAAAATCACATTGTAGGATTTTTAATGAATTTATTAGCAAATTATGGTGGAAAATAAGTATTTGGTCACCTACAAACAAGCAAGATTTCTGGCTCTCACAGACCTGTAACTTCTTCTTTAAGAGGCTCCTCTGTCCTCCACTCGTTACCTGTATTAATGGCACCTGTTGAACTTGTTATCAGTATAAAAGACACCTGTCCACAACCTCAAACAGTCACACTCCAAACTCCACTATGGCCAAGACCAAAGAGCTGTCAAAGGACACCAGAAACAAAATTGTAGACCTGCACCAGGCTGGGAAGACTGAATCTGCAATAGGTAAGCAGCTTGGTTTGAAGAAATCAACTGTGGGAGCAATTATTAGGAAATGGAAGACATACAAGACCACTGATAATCTCCCTCGATCTTGGGCTCCACGCAAGATCTCACCCCGTGGGGTCAAAATGATCACAAGAACGGTGAGCAAAAATCCCAGAACCACACGGGGGGACCTAGTGAATGACCTGCAGAGAGCTGGGACCAAAGTAACAAAGCCTACCATCAGTAACACACTACGCCACCAGGGACTCAAATCCTGCAGTGCCAGATGTGTCCCCCTGCTTAAGCCAGTACATGTCCAGGCCCGTCTGAAGTTTGCTAGAGTGCATTTGGATGATCCAGAAGAGGATTGGGAGAATGTCATATGGTCAGATGAAACCAAAATATAACTTTTTGGTAAAAACTAAACTCGTCGTGTTTGGAGGACAAAGAATGCTGAGTTGCATCCAAAGAACACCATACCTACTGTGAAGCATGGGGGTGGAAACATCATGCTTTGGGGCTGTTTTTCTGCAAAGGGACCAGGACGACTGATCCGTGTAAAGGAAAGAATGAATGGGGCCATGTATCGTGAGATTTTGAGTGAAAACCTCCTTCCATCAGCAAGGGCATTGAAGATAATAATATAATATGTAATAATATGCCATTTAGCAGACGCTTTTATCCAAAGCGACTTACAGTCATGCGTGCATACATTTTTGTGTATGGGTGGTCCCGGGGATCGAACCCACTACCTTGGCGTTACAAGCGCCGTGCTCTACCAGCTGAGCTACAGAGGACCACCCATACATGAAGATGAAACGTGGCTGGGTCTTTCAGCATGACAATGATCCCAAACACACCGCCCGGGCAACGAAGGAGTGGCTTTGTAAGAAGCATTTCAAGGTCCTGGAGTGGCCTAGCCAGTCTCCAGATCTCAACCCCATAGAAAATCTTTGGAGGGAGTTGAAAGTCTGTGTTGCCCAGCGACAGCCCCAAAACATCACCGCTCTAGAGGAGATCTGCATGGAGGAATAGGCCAAAATACCAGCAACAGTGTGTGAAAACCTTGTGAAGACTTACAGAAAACGTTTGACCTGTGTCATTGCCAACAAAGGGTATATAACAAAGTATTGAGAAACTTTTGTTATTGACCAAATACTTATTTTCCACCATAATTTGCAAATAAATTCATTAAAAATCCTACAATGTGATTTTCTGGAATGTTTTTCCTCAATTTGTCTGTCATAGTTGACGTGTACCTATGATGAAAATTACAGGCCTCTCTCATCTTTTGAAGTGGGAGAACTTGCACAATTGGTGGCTGACTAAATACTTTTTTCCCCCACTGTATTTCAATAGGCCTAGCGGGAGCTTGTGTGCGCACTCAGCACGCATGTGTGGAGGGAGCGGTTGGAATGCAATTGAGTGAATGAGACACGAAATGCACATGTACAAATGGAACACGAGTCAAAGCAAATTAACGTTGTCTTAAAGACAACATTTTACTTGCCCGGGCAGCCACAAAGCACCTTCCACTAAATAGTTGTACAGTATTTGAAGGAAAAAAATTGATCTCTGGTTAAAGATCGAGCTTTGACGTCCGTTTGAGTACTCATGCCCAACCGTAGTCTGTGTGTGTCAGGCTCTCACCCAGAGTCTCACTGCTGGTGTTGCGTGAGCACTGCCCACTGTCCACTGTCCAGGACAGCTGCTCGTCGGACTTGCTCAGCTTGCCCATGCTATTGCAGGGGGATAGGCGCGGCGACTCCCCTCCGTAGTAATGGCTGCCCCCAGAGAAGCGTCGCTGCAGTGCATCCACCTCGTACTCCTGCCAACCAGAGAGCGGTGACCAGACCCGTTTTATTAGCATTTGTTGAAAAATACATAATAGCCCCCAAAAAAGAAAGAGTGCAAGAAATGGCTGATATATGTCTCACGACGGTGTAAAACATAGCACAATCCAAAATGGCACCTTATTCCCTATGGGGCCTGGTCAAAAGTAGTGCACTATATTGAATATGGTGCCATTACTGACACAGCCCCAGCGTGTGTGTGCAGCTGCTCCTTCCTGGAGCCACTGTACCTGTTTGTGGAGGCCGACAGCCATGGGAGGACTGGAGCCACTGTACCGGTTTGTGGAGGCCGAAACCCATGGGAGGACTGGAGCCACTGTACCTGTTTGTGGAGGCCGAAACCCATGGGAGGACTGGAGCCACTGTACCTGTTTGTGGAGGCCGATGTCCATGGAAGTCTGGAGCCACTGTACCTGTTTGTGGAGGCCGATGTCCATGGAAGTCTGGAGCCACTGTACCTGTTTGTGGAGGCCGATGCCCATGGAAGTCTGGAGCCACTGTACCTGTTTGTGGAGGCCGATGCCCATGGGAAGACTGGAGCCACTGTACCTGTTTGTGGAGGCCGATGCCCATGGGAAGACTGGAGCCACTGTACCTGTTTGTGGAGGCCGATGCCCATGGGAAGACTGGAGCCACTGGTGGCGCGGCTCATGGGGGCCACTACTGCCACCCGGGTGGGGGAGGGGGCAGACTGGCGCTTCTTTGGAGGGAGAGCAGGAGGACTGGAGGGGGAGAAGAAGGGGACATCATTTAAATGAGGCAGGGTACAATGTCCAGTGTTCAATGTCCATCAATGCCAAGTATTCCAAAAGCCAAGCATGCAGTCCTAGCCGCAGTACACTGACTGATCCACTTCTTCTGTGTGTCCTGTGTAGTATGTACTGTGTAGTATGTCTGGTGAAGGAAAATACTGCACTGACACTGGCCTGGGTGGGTTGAGAGATAATATACAATATCTGACACTTTCCGAGAGCCTTCTGAAGTAGCATCACTATGGAAAAACGTGTAGTGCACGGGTCACTGCCTGGCTGCTTTTTCCCCCTCCACAAACAGATAGCGGTGGAGAGAGCAGCAGCTACTTAACTGTTTCCACACCGCAGTGCACACAGATGGCCCAATGACAAGATGGAATGTGCAGGGCAGGCAGCCGTGGTGGTGAGGAGGTGGAGGATATCCTCTCTGCCATTTAGGGAGTAGGGTGGGGGTGAGGGGGGCAAGGAAAGCCCCCAGGGAAGAGAAAAAATAATAATAATTAAGACAAAAATAGAACAAGGACAAAATCTGCAGTGTGCCCTTGCGTAAGACACACAGACTGCTGCCGATAGCTACCCGCACCTGCTGCTGGCAAGGTGAAATTCAGAGCGCTACCCGCACCTGCTGCTGGCAAGGTGAAATTCAGAGAGCTACCCGCACCTGCTGCTGGCAAGGTGAAATTCAGAGAGCTACCCGCAACTGCTGCTGGCAAGGTGAAATTCAGAGAGCTACCCGCACCTGCTGCTGGCCAGGTGAAATTCAGAGAGCTACCTGCAACTGCTGCTGGCCAGGTGAAATTCAGAGAGCTACCCGCACCTGCTGCTGGCCAGGTGAAATTCAGAGAGCTACCTGCAACTGCTGCTGGCAAGGTGAAATTCAGAGAGCTACCCGCACCTGCTGCTGGCCAGGTGAAATTCAGAGAGCTACCTGCAACTGCTGCTGGCAAGGTGAAATTCAGAGAGCTACCCGCTCCTGCTGCTGGCAAGGTAAAATTCAGAGAGCTACTGTTCGGAGCACAAGGAAAGACAGAGAGCCTTTTAGAATTTATAAGTGTCTGGATGTGCTGCTTTCCAGTGTGTTTGTGGTGGGCTCTGGAATCTGGTCCATTTCCATTCCTTGTCGTCATTCTCTGGCTGTAAACTCGCAAGCCTCTGCCGAGCCCAGTTTCTCCCAAAAGAAAAGCGCCTCAGAGACGGTGCCGTGACAGTTCTCTCACCAGAGGAAGTCTAATTTCTGACACCTCCCTTTATTACACCCTTCAAAGACATTAAAGCTTTCTAAAGAATCAAGACTACTTATAACACACTGTTTCCCAGCTACTGTACTTCTGTCTTCTTGTAAAGAGACAAGCGGCAAGCACATTGGCCTGTAATCCAAGGACATTCAACGTGATGAGTGGTATACAATGAGCGTTTCTTTTGTTGATAAATTGGTGTGGGCTAAGGCTTCAACAGAGCTGTGTGCTGCGCTATTGGCAGGCCTAACAAGTATACTAGTACAGCAGCGGTATGGATTTGTTTAAAGTTCCCTCCTCATTCTAATTGAGTAGGTTGATGAATGTTCAAGGTAATGTTGTTGGAGTAATACTCGGGCAGATATTAATGTCCCACACTCTTGTTGTCCCATCATGCTTTGCGGCCTCCCTGCCTCCCATGTTGTGGCTCATCCTGTTTGTCAATTTGTAAGTCGCTCTGGATAAGAGCGTCTGCTAAATGATGTAAATGTAAATGTATACAGAGTTGGGGACTTGAGTCAGTGGCTAAACAGTGATTTGCGACTTGGCTACTGCATTTACTTCAGTTCAGACTTGACCCTGACTTGTGCTGTGACTGAGAGCAGTCAATGAAAATATGATCTTATGAAGGGTTAACTTTTCCCATTCCGAAGCAGTTTATTAAGTCTGAATGCAATGGTGTCCTGTGTGGATCATGATATTGATATGCAGCTCTGACTCTGTGCCATTTAACATTGTGCCATCTGAAGAAAGAGAGGAGAGATACTTGAGACTTGACTTGGACTTGCCTGAAGCGACTTATTGACATGTCTGGGCCAGTGATAGAGGGGGGCTCCATTGATGAACTACTGTATTGTATTGAAGCTATGAAACTGACACTATCTCCATGAAATGAGCTCTTACTTGTGTTCAGCCATCTTGAGACCAGGGAGAGGGGGTTTTGGCGGGGCAACCACCTCTTCCTCCTCTCCAGTGGGTTCAGTCAGGACTTCCGTAGATTGGGCCGTGGCTGAGCTCTTGTCCAGACTCTCTTTCTCATTGGCAGGCGGGTCGGCAGCACTGTGGGTATGGAAGTTGTTTACTGATGTTGTTTACATCTTGTACAATTACCATCAAATCACAAGTATCTGATATGTTCAGTACATATATATGAGAGAATGAGGTTAGTGGAGGAGTGTATTGATGTCCTCCGTGGCTCACTCACCTCTCGGGTGGGGTGGCCGGTGGCACTGGTTTGACAGGAGACGTGGGGGAAGGATGCTCCTGTTTCTCTATGGTCAGTTTCACCAGCTCCTGTGGACAATCACCGTGTGCAGTTAATAAATGCTAGCCAACTTCACAGCCATTTTCACCATCTCTTACCCAGAGTACTAAGTACTCGGCTAGCTACTGTTTCCCCAAAAAACATAAGGTGCATTAAATGGTACACATCCTTTGTGACGTCTCACATTTCATGTTTACTTGTTTTCTGGTATGCTAACGTTACCTTAACACCGCCGAGCACTGCCTTGATCACAGTGGTGACGGTCTGGTATGCTAACATTACCTTAACACCGTCAAGCACTGCCTTGATCACAGTGGTGACGGTCTGGTAAGCTAACGTTACCTTAACACCGTCAAGCACTGCCTTGATCACAGTGGTGACGGTCTGGTATGCTAACGTTACCTTAACACCGTCAAGCACTGCCTTGATCACAGTGGTGACGGTAACGATGGTTTCTTTATCTTCCAGGTTGACCCCCTCCAGCATGACTTGGTCAGACCAACGGATGAGATTGCCCAGACTCTGGTACACACGGTTCAGACAGGAGGACACCGCTGAGCTGTGAACACCCAAGAGGAAAGATGAGGCTAACAGACTGACAAAAACACTCCATGGTTGGTTGGCGATTCTGTATCAGTCTTTGAAGGTTCCTTTATCATTTCAACCTTAAAACTAATATAATCAGCAACCTTAAATTACATTTGGCTGGACCTCATCTCGTGACAGTTGAAGCGTTGTCTAAAAACCCTCAATGGGCCAGCAAGCTCCAGATACAGTGCATTCGGAGAGTATTCAGACCCCTTCCCTTTTTCCACATTTTGTTACGTTACAGCCTTCTTCTAAAATGGATTAAAAAAAGAAAAATCCCATCAATCTACACACAATACCCTATAATGACAAAGCAAAAACATTTGTTTTTAGACATTTTTGCAAATGTATTAAAAATAAAAACAGAAATACCCTGTTTACATAAGTATTCAGACCCTTTGCTATGAGACTCGAAATTGAGCTCAGGTGCATCCTGTTTCCATTGATCATCCTTGAGATGTTTCTACAACTTGATTGGAGTCCACCTGTGGTAAATTCAATTGATTGGACATGATTTGGAAAGGCACACACCTGTCTATATAAGGTCCCACAATTGACAGTGCATGTTAGAGCAAAAACCAAGCCATGAGGTCAAAGGAATTGTCTCTAGAGCTCTGAGACAGGATTGCATCGAGGCACAGATCTGGGGAAGGGTACCAAAAAATGTCTGCAGGATTGAAGGTCCCCAAGAACACAGTGGCCTCCATCATTCTTAAATGGAAGAAGTTTGGATCCACCAAGACTCTTCCTAGAGCTGGCCGCCCGGCCAAACTGAGCAATCGGGGAGAAGGGCCTTGGTCAGGGAGGTGACCAAGAACCCGATGGTCACTCTGACAGAGCTCCAGAGTTCCTCTGTGGAGATGGAAGAACCTTCCAGAAGGCCAACCATCTCTGCAGCACCATCAATCAGGCCTTTATGGTAGTGGTCAGACGGAAGTCACTCCTCAGTAAAAGGCATGACAGCCCGCTTGGAGTTTGCCAAAAGGCACCTAAAGGACTCTCAGACCATGAGAAACAAGATTCTCTTGTCTGATGAAACCAAGATTTAACTCTTTGGCCTAAACGCCAAGCGTCACGTCTGGAGGAAACCTGGCACCATCCCTACGGTGAAGAATGGTGGTGGCAGCATCATACTGTGGGGATGTTTTTCAGTGGCAGGGACTGGGAGACTAGTCAGGATCGAGGGAAAGATGAACGGAGCAAAGTACAGAGAGATCCCTTGATGAAAACCTGCTCCAGAGTGCTCAGGAACTCACACTGGGGCGAAGGTTCACCTACCAACAAGACAACGACCCTAAGCACACAGCCAAGACAATGCAGGAGTGGCTTCAGGACAAGTCTCTGAATTTCCTTGAGTGGCCCAGCCAGAGCCCGGACTTGAACCCGATCTAACATCTCTGGAGAGACCTGAAAATAGCTGTGCAGCGACGCTCCCCATCCAACCTGACAGAGCTTGAGAGGATCTGCAGAGAAGAATGGGAGAAACTTCCCAAATACAGGTGTGCTAAGCTTGTAGTGTCATACCAAAAAAGACTCAAGGCTGTAATCGCTGCCAAAGGTGCTTCAACAAAGTACTGAGTAAAGGGTCTGAATACTTATGTAAATGTGATATTTCCGTTTTTAATTTTTAATACATTTGCTAAAATTTCTAAAAACTTGATTTTGCATTGTCATTATGTGGTATTGTGTGTAGATTGATGATGGGGAAAAAACAATTTAATCAATTTTAGAATAAGGCTGTAACGTAACAAAACGTGGAAAAAGTCAAGGGGTCTGAATACTTTCAGAATGCACTGTATATCTCCTGGGCCAGACTCACCTGTGCTGGATCCTTGGGTCCACTTGGACTAAAGGCAGGACGGCCTCCAGGACCTTACTGGCAGAGCCTGGTAACATCTCCAGCACCTTCTTGTCCACCGCCATCTTGTCAATGATGGTCTTGAAGTAACGCAAGGCACTGACCACATCTTTCTCGTGCTCCTCTAACCGACTCAGACTCTGCAAAAGTAAGCCAACGTGAGAGCAATCGTGAACTTGGTGGCATGGCATTACTTTCATTAATGGCATCTTGGTCGTGTGATTATTGCATAATATGAGGCTTTGTTTGTCACTCTGCCTTCACAGTCTCACTCTGTTTCTTGTAGGATATAAATCAACAACTAATTGCAATTTATGAGATGGGCACAGCAAAAGCTTGAGGCCTATGTAGAGGGAGAAATACAGACATTAAACACACCTTGTTAGCAGATTTCTCCGCAGTCTTGACGCCATGTTCTAAAGGCGGCTTACTGACTTTCTTTGAGGGTGTCCTTTTGATTTTGGGAGAGAGGAACTTGTCCATAAGCTTCATGGTGAAGGAAGACAAATGGGAGCGTTGGGAGTCTGCGGATGAGAATGGGAAAGAGAAAGAGGCAGAGTTAAGAGAAGAACCTCTAATCTTCATAATCTACAGAGAGCGTGAATTGAGAGAACCCTAGATAGAAAGTCACTTTTGGAGACACCACACGTCAAACTATGGAAGTTTCATTTAATGTTACATGATAGCTGATACTTAAACACAACCTCTCACAACTGCATTTGTTCAGAACTTAGGCCTATAAGAAATAATAAGCATGTAAATTCTGAAGAACAATCAATATAAGAGATCCTCTGAATTAGTAAAAAATAATGTGGGCATTAGTGTTCCTAAAAAGTGCATTTTTGTCAGAGTGAGATAGATAGCCCTACCTCACCAACAAACTACACATACAGTGGGGAGAACAAGTATTTGATACACTGCCGATTTTGCAGGTTTTCCTACTTACAAAGCATGTAGAGGTCTGTAATTTTTTTCATAGGTACACTTCAACTGTGAGAGACGGAATCTAAAACAAAAATCCAGAAAATCACATTGTATGATTTTTAAGTCATTCATTTGCATTTTATTGCATGACATAAGTATTTGATCACCTACCAACCAGTAAGAATTCCGGCTCTCACAGACCTGTTAGTTTTTAAGAAGCCCTCCTGTTCTCCACTCATTACCTGTATTAACTGCACCTGTTTGAACTCGTTACCTGTATAAAAGACACCTGTCCACACACTCAATCAAACAGACTCCAACCTCTCCACAATGGCCAAGACTGAGTAAGGACATCAGGGATAAAATTGTAGACCTGCACAAGGCTGGGATGGGCTACAGGACAATAGGCAAGCAGCTTGGTGAGAAGGCAACAACTGTTGGCGCAATTATTAGAAAATGGAAGAAGTTCAAGATGACGGTCAATCACCCTCGGTCTGGGGCTCCATGCAAGATCTCACCTCGTGGGGCATCAATGATCATGAGGAAGGTGAGGGATCAGCCCAGAACTACACGGCAGGACCTGGTCAATGACCTGAAGAGAGCTGGGACCACAGTCTCAAAGAAAACCATTAGTAACACACTACGCCGTCATGGATTAAAATCCTGCAGCGCACGCAAGGTCCCCCTGCTCAAGCCAGCGCATGTCTAGGCCCGTCTGAAGTTTGCCAATGACCATCTGGATGATCCAGAGGAGGAATGGGAGAAGGTCATGTGGTCTGATGAGACAAAAATATAGCTTTTTGGTCTAAACTCCACTCGCCATGTTTGGAGGAAGAAGAAGGATGAGTACAACCCCAAGAACACCATCCCAACCGTGAAGCATGGAGGTGGAAACATCATTCTTTGGGGATGCTTTTCTGCAAAGGGGACAGGACGACTGCACCGTATTGAGGGGAGGATGGATGGGGCCATGTATCGCGATATCTTGGCCAACAACCTCCTTCCCTCAGTAAGAGCATTGAAGATGGGTCGTGGCTGGGTCTTCCAGCATGACAACGACCCGAAACACACAGCCAGGGCAACTAAGGAGTGGCTCCTTAAGAAGCATCTCATGGTCCTGGAGTGGCCTAGCCAGTCTCCAGACCTGAACCCAATAGAAAATCTTTGGAGGGAGCTGAAAGTCCGTATTGCCCAGCGACAGCCCCGAAACCTGAAGGATCTGGAGAAGGTCTGTATGGAGGAGTGGGCCAAAATCCCTGCTGCAGTGTGTGCAAACCTGGTCAAGACCTACAGGAAACGTATGATCTCTGTAATTGCAAACAAAGGTTTCTGTACCAAATATTAAGTTCTGCTTTTCTGATGTATCAAATCCTTATGTCATGCAATAAAATGCAAATTAATTACTTAAAAATCATACAATGTGATTTTCTGGATGCTTTTCTGATGTATCAAATCCTTATGTCATGCAATAAAATGCAAATTAATTACTTAAAAATCATACAATGTGATTTTCTGGATTTTGTCTCTCGCAGTTGAAGTGTACCTATGATAAAAATTACAGACCTCTACATGCTTTGTAGGTAGGAAAACCTGAAAAATCGGCAGTGTATCAAATACTTGTTCTCCCCACTGTATTAGCCTTAACTGCATAATGAGTGAGAGCATTGTAATCTGTCCTCATAAAAAACAAAAAAAACATGTACTGTACTTCAACTGTAGATAAATAATGGTTACCCATAAAACCTAAAATAGAGTACATTAAATAAATCTGCCCGTTTTTCATTGGCAACTGCATCAAGGCCATGGCCCAAATGAATCATTTAGCAACCTGTACAGACAAAGGCGCTGGGACACATCAGCTTTATGAGAGAACCTTCTGCGGAATGATGTGTTGCACATGGGACTCTTTATTAGCGAGTGTTTAAGTGGTGACTTAACACACTACATGACAAAAGGCGTACCCTCAGTCTTGCTCACTGTTATGAGAGCAGCGATTCCCCACACCCCCAACACCCCAGAAGCTGGATAGACCACTGCTATGGCAACTAGCAGTTTATTTACTGTACCACATGTTTTCTCATGATCTCCAAACAATCTGGCTCCCATCACGGCCCTCTAAGGGTTGACTGCAGGCGGTGCTGCACTGTGCATGCCTGTGTGACCGATTGTGTTCAAAACCCGCCAACCCGGACTTCTGTGTGCCACAAGACTGTTAGCCCGCTGACCTTAAAGGGATACTTCAGGGTTATGGCAATGAAGCCATTTATCTACTTCCCCAGAGTCCGATGAACTCGTGGATACCATTTTTATGTCTCTGCGTGCAGTTTGAAGGAAGTTGCTAACTACAGTTAGCGGATTGTGGCAGTGGCTACGTAAACAAACCCAAAAATGTGGATTATAGTCTCTCCTTTTCCATAGACTGCTAACAAGGTAAGGAAATAAATACACTGACCAAATATAAACGTAACATGTAAAGTGTTGGTCCCATATTTCATGAGCTGAAATAAAATATCCCCGAAAATGTCCATACACACAAAAAAACGTATTTCTCTCAGATTTGGTCCACAAATCTCTTTACATCCCTGTTAGTGAGCATTTCTCCTTTACCAAGATAATCCATCCACCTGACAGGTGTAGCATATCAAGAAGTTGATTAAACAGCATGATCATTACACAGGTGCACCTTGTGCTGGGGACAATAAAAGGACACTCAAAAATGTGCAGTTTTGTCACACAACACAATGCCACAGATGTATCAAGTTGAGGGATCGTGCAATTGGCATGCTGACTGCAGGAATGTCAACCAGAACTGTTGCCAGAGAATTTAATGTTCATTTTTCTACCATAAGCCGCCTCCAACATCATTTTAGAGAATTTGGCAGTGCGTCCAACCGGCCTCACAACCGCAGACCACGTGTAACCGTGCCAGCCCAGGACCTCCACATCCGGCTTCTTCACCTGCGGGATCGCTGAGACCAGCCACCAGCTAATGAAACTGTGGGTTTGCACAACCGAAGAATTTCTGCACAAACTGTCAGAAACCGTCTCAGGGAAGCTCACCTGCGTGCTCGTCATCCTCACCTGACTGTAATTTGGCGTCGTAACTGACTTCAGTGGGCAAATGCTCACCTTCGATGGCCACTGGCATGCTGGAGAAGTGTGCTCTTCACAGATGAATCTCGGTTTCAACTGTACCGGACAGATGGCAGACCAAGTGTATGGCGTCGTGTGGGCGAGCGGTTTGCTGATGTCAACATGGTGAACAGACTGCCCCATGGTGGCGGTGGGGTTATGGTATGGGCAGGCAGGCATAAGCAACGGACAACAAACACAATTGCATTTTATCGATGGCTATTCAATGCACAGAGATACCGTGACGAGATCCTGAGGCCCATTGTCGTGCCATTCATCCGCCGCCATCACCTCATGTTTCAGCATGATAATGCACAGCCCCATATCGCAAGGCTCTGTACACATTTCCTGGAAGCTGAAAATGTCACCGTTCTTCTATGGCCTGCATACTCACCAGACGTCACCCATTGAGCATGTTTGGGATGCCAATATCCAGCAACTTCACACAGCCATTGAAGAGGAGTGGGACATTCCACAGGCCACAATCAACAGCCTGATCAACTCTATGCGAAGGAGATGTGTCACGCTGCATGAGGCAAATGGTGGTCACACCAGATACTGACTGGTTTTCTTATCCATGCCCCTACCTTTTAAAAAAGGTATCTGTGACCAACAGATGCATATCTGTATTCCCAGTCATGGGAAATGTGTAGATTAGGGCCTAATACATTTATTTAGATTGACTGATTTTCAGTAAAATCTTTTAAATTGTTGCATGTTGCATTTATACTGTATTTTTGTTCAGTGTATGTTGCCTAAGTTTGTAATTTAAGTGAGCTTTCCCTATAAAACCAGCCTATTAAACAGAACTGAAATATGATTTGACTAAAAACTAAAGTGAACAGAGGGGCTTAATGCGCTAAGCCACATTATGCATTAGTGAAGCTAATTCGGAAGGCACTAGTTGTACACAGCACAGCATTCAAAACACCTCAGGTAGCCTATACAGGATACAGCCCATTTCCCCTTCTCTGCAAGGTAGTGAAGATTTGCAGAGAAACTGAAAACAAAAGCTTGATGCTGCTGGCATACCCATTTAAAATGGTTGAAAGAGGGGGGTTGAAACTGGATATTGAGTACATAAACAAACACCAATTATTGCTCTTCCGTTGTGTACAGAAGCATGGGACTCTTGCCAGGGATAGGAGCTGTCAATGGCTTTAGAGAGAGGATCAGCAGGCTTCACAACTGGGGGTGAAACACTGCCAATAGAGTCAATGAGGAGGAATGCTGTCTGGATGTCCATTCACTGCTCATCTCATCCACTGTTTGCTGTGAATTCCTGGCTGTGCCCATCAGTCTCTGGGGATGTGCCACCCTTCCGCTAAAACAGGCAGGTTGTTGTGATTGTGACTGCCTGCTGCCAGCAGTGAACAAAATGAATGAGTTTCCAGAATAGAGTCACAACCAGTCATTGTCTGACTAACTAGGTTGCAGACCTGAGGACAGACGGTGTGGAGTGCTGCAC